GTGTGTACAGTACAGGCCAAATGTTTGGACACACCTACTCATTCAATGTGTTTTCTTTATTTTCATGACCATTTACAAAGGGGCCAACAAGTGATAAACACCTCTGGGAACTCCTTCATGACCGTTGGAAAACCATTTCAGGTGACGACCTCCTGAAACTCATCAAGAGTGTGCAAAGCAGTAATCAGAGCAACGGGTGGCTATTTAGTATAAAACAGAATATAAAACATGTTTTCACCTATTTCTTTTTTGGTTAAGTAGCCTACATAACTCCACGTGTTCATCCTTAGTCTTGATGCCTTCAGTGGGAATCTACCAATGTAAATGGTCATGAAAAGAAAGACTGAAGACCTTGTCCATGGTGTCCCTGAAGTTAAACATCAGCCCCTGAGGCTAGTGAAGATGAAATTAATGGTTGGATGAATGGATGAATGGAAACAGAGTGTTTTAAACAAGAATCTGTCTCACTGACTGGGAGGAGAACCCTGTAAGACATCCCAATGTAAATCTTATGGTTTAAAGTGATGCACTTCTATTTTTAACATATATTTGGTTGTTTTTTTTCAAAGTCTCATTAAGTCTGTTAGCACTACAGAGGTGAAAGTCCAGATGTGCTTATGCATCATGCTCCCTTTAATAATTTCACTTTAGATCTACAAATTTGCATATATATACATATATATATATATATATATATATATATATATATATAGATATATAGATAGATAGATAGATGCAATAAAATGTAAATGTGTCCTGAAATAATTTAAATGTATAATTAAAAGCACTTTTTTTTAATAAAAGAAGATTTATATTTTGTGCTTGAACTTCGTCTTCGTCTTCGTCTTCCTCCGCTTATCCGGGTCCGGGTCGCGGGGGCAGCATCCCAACTAGGGAGCTCCAGGCCGTCCTCTCCCCGGCCCTGTCCACCAGCTCCTCCGGCAGGACCCCAAGGCGTTCCCGGACCAGATTGGAGATGTAACCTCTCCAACGTGTCCTGGGTCGACCCGGGGGCCTTCTGCCGGCAGGACATGCCCGAAACACCTCCCCGGGGAGGCGTCCAGGAGGCATCCTGACCAGATGCCCAAACCACCTCAACTGGCTCCTTTCGATCCGGAGGAGCAGCTGTTCTACTCCGAGTCCCTCCCGAATGTCCGAGCTCCTCACCCTATCTCTAAGGCTGAGCCCGGCCACCCTACGGAGGAAACTCATTTCGGCCGCTTGTATCCGTGATCTCGTTCTTTCGGTCATTACCCAAAGCTCATGACCATAGGTGAGGATTGGGACGTAGATCGACCGGTAAATCGAGAGCCTGGCTTTCTGGCTCAGCTCCCTCTTCCCCACGACAGATCGGCTCAGCGTCCGCATCACTGCAGACGCCGAACCAATCTGCCTGTCGATCTCCTGATCCCTCCTACCCTCACTCGTGAACAAGACCCAGAGATACTTAAACTCCTCCACTTGAGGTAGGACCTCTCCCCCGACCCGGAGGTGGCAAGCCACCCTTTTCCGGTCGAGAACCATGGTCTCAGATTTGGAGGTGCTGATCCTCATCCCAGCCGCTTCACATTCGGCCGCGAACCTACCCAGCAAGAGCTGAAGGTCAGAGCTGGATGAAGCTAGGAGGACCACATCATCCGCAAAAAGCAGAGACGAGATTCTCCTGCCACCAAACTCGACACACTCCACACCACGGCTGCGTCTAGAAATTCTGTCCATAAAAGTGATGAACAGAACCGGTGACAAAGGGCAGCCCTGGCGGAGTCCAACCCTCACTGGGAACAGGTCCGACTTACTACCGGCTATGTGGACCAAACTCACGCTCCTCTGGTAAAGGGACTGAATGGCCCTTAACAGAAAGCCACCCACCCCATACTCCTGGAGCATCCCCCACAGGGTGCCCCTGGGGACACGGTCATAAGCCTTCTCCAAATCCACAAAGCACATGTGGATTGGTTGGGCAAACTCCCATGCCCCCTCCATCACCCTTGCAAGGGTATAGAGCTGGTCCACAGTTCCACGGCCAGGACGAAAACCACATTGCTCCTCCTCTATCTGAGATTCAACTATCGATCGGACCCTCCTCTCCAGTACCTTGGCGTAGACCTTTCCAGGGAGGCTGAGGAGTGTGATCCCCCTATAGTTGGAACACACCCTCAGGTCACCCTTCTTAAAGATGGGGACCACCACCCCGGTCTGCCACTCCCTAGGAACTGCCCCCGATGACCACGCAATGTTGTAGAGACGTGTCAACCATGACAGCTCTACAACATCCATAGCCTTGAGATACCCAGGACGAACCTCATCCACCCCCGGGGCTCCGCCGCTGTGTAGTTGTTTGACTACCTCAGCAACTTCTGCCCCCGAGATTGGACAGTCCATCCCCAGGCCTCCCAGCTGTGGTTCCTCCTCGGAATGCGCATTGGTGGGATTGAGGAGCTCCTCAAAGTATTCCTTCCACCGTCCGACTATAGCCTCAGTTGACGTCAGCAGCTCCCCATCCCCACTGTAAACAGTGTGAGCGAGTTGCTGCCTTCCTCTCCTGAGGCGCCGGACAGTTTGCCAGAACCTCTTTGGAGCCGATCGATAGTCTTTCTCCATGGCCTCACCTAACTCCTCCCACGCCCGAGATTTTGCCTCGGCAACTGCCACTGCTGCACCCCGCTTGGCTATCCGGTACCTGTCTGCTGCCTCCGGAGACCCACAGACCAGCCACGCCCTGTAGGCCTCCTTCTTCAGCCTGACGGCTCCCCGAACCTCTGGTGTCCACCAGCGGGTACGGGGGTTGCCACCACGACTGGCACCGGCCACCTTACGACCAAAGCTAGCAACAGCCGCCTCGACAATCGCAGAGTGGAACAAGGCCCACTCGGACTCAATGTCCCCCACTGCTCTCGGGACGTGGTCAAAGCTCTGCCGGAGGTGGGAGTTGAAGACCGTCTTGACAGGTTCTTCTGCCAGGCGTTCCCAGCAGACCCTCACTATGCGTTTGGGTCTGCCAGGTCTACGCGGCATGTTCCCTTGCCATCTGATCCAACTCACCACCAGGTGGTGATCAGTTGACAGCTCCGCCCCTCTCTTTACTCGGGTGTCCAAAACATACGGCCGCAGGTCAGATGATACGACTACAAAATCTATCATCGACCTGTGACCTAGGCTGCCCTGGTACCAAGTGTACCGGTGGGCATCCTTATGTTCGAACATGGTGTTCATTATGGCCAAACTGCGGCTTGCACAGAAGTCCAATAACAAAACACCGCTCGAGTTCAGATTAGGTGGGCCGTTCCTCCCAATCACACCCCTCCAGGTCAAGCTGTCATTGCCCACGTGAGCATTGAAGTCCCCCAGCAGGACAATGGAGTCCCCTGATGGAGCACTATCTAGCACTCGTCCCAGGGACTCCAAAAAGGGTGGGTACTCTGAACTGACATTTGGCCCATAAGCACAAACAACAGTCAGGACCCGTTCCCCGACCCGAAGGCGCAAGGAAGCTACCCTCTTGTCCCCTGCGGTAAACCCCAACACACAGGCAGAGAGTCTTGGGGCTAACAAAAAGCCAACCCCAGCCCTCCGCCTCTCACCCGGAGCAACTCCAGCAAAGTAGAGTGTCCAACCCCTCTCCAGGTCTCGGGTTCCAGAGCCAATGCAATGTGTCGAGGTGAGTCCGACTATATCTAGCCGGTACCGCTCAACCTCTGCCACAAGCTCCGGCTCCTTCCCCGCCAGCGAGGTGACATTCCATGTCCCAAAAACTAGTTTTCTTGTCCGGGGATTGGACCGCCAAGGCTCCCACCTTGGTCTGCCACCCGATTCGCATTGCACCGGACCCTTCATGTTCCTCCTGCGGGTGGTGGGTCCACAGTTGGACGTGCCCATGTATCCGGTTCGGGCTGGGCCTGGCCGGGCCCCATGGGCGAAAGCCCGGCCACCAGGCGCTCGCTCACGGGCCCCAACCCCAGGCCTGGCTCCAGGGTGGGACCCCGGTAACCCTCCGGGCCGGGTACTCCGACTCTTCGTTTTAACCGCCATGAAAGATCCTTCGAACCGTTCTTTGTCTCACCCTTCACCTAAGACCAATTTGTCATGGGAGACCCTACCAGGGGCACTAAGTGCCCCAGACAACATAGCTCCAAGGATCATTAGGGCACTCAAACTCCTCCACCACGATAAGGTGACGGTTCAAGGAGGAGTGACGGTTCTTGAACTAAACACACGAATCTGATAAGTAAAACTGTTTCTAGTTCTTTGTATACCAATGTTGTTCTAGAGCTCCTGATGAACACTAGAGGGCGATGTTGTTCCGTCTATTGGAATTGTTTATTTGTTTTGTAAACATATACTTAACAAAAACACATTTATTCAGCATGTTTCTTGGTCGTCCACGTGCTTCCATACTTTCAGATCAGGGCAAGCATCCTCGGTAGATGATGAAAGTGGTCGTTTTTTTTTTTTTTTTACTTTGGTGTATTTTCACTGAGTAGCTTTTCACACTGATGAATCGCATCCATAAAACCCAAGAACTCCTACACACACACACACACACACACACCCACACACATACACACTTCTTTGTGACTGCTGCAGCACTGACAGTGATCTTCCTGCACATGTGTGAAGGACCATCTTCAATTACATCCTGCCTCCACACACACACACACACACACACACACACACACACAACCCTCTGTTTTGAGGGTTATTTTGGGCTGCAGACTCTAACCCTGCGCCTTCGGTTTAATAAAAGGAGGGGTCGAGCTGTTGCTATTTCTTTCTGCTGCTCTGCACCATTCGTCCATGTCCGTTAAAAAAGGATTTCCCTCTAAATGAATGGTTCTGTTGGATCCTAATCTTGAAAGGATGGAGCTCGGTCCTCTGCAGGTGGTGACTGTCCCCACAGCCCCCTACCCAGACCAGAGACCCAGCAGCAGTGGCCTAAGGAAGAAGGTGTATGTATTTCAGTCCAAGAAGAACTATCTGCACAACTTCATCCAGAGCATCTTCTCCTCTATTGACTTACCTGACCGCCAGGGAGCCACCATGGTGGTGGGGGGTGATGGACGCTTTTTCAACAGACCTGTTATAGAAGTCATCGCTCAGATGGCAGCCGCCAATGGGGTCAGTCACTCTGTGTGTGTGTGTGTGTGTGTGGGTGGGTGGGTGGGGGGTAACATGCTGCTCTACTCGTGGATGATGTCTCCTGCCCCCTGCGGTACCTATGGAGGGTATGGGATGTGTTTGAGACGCGCGTCAGGTCAAATGTTAAAAAGTTACATTCTGATGTAAAAAGAAACACAAAACAGGAAAAAAAGCTTTTCATTTTTATTTTAGTAGGTCAAACGATCGTTGTAATTAAATATTAAATCATGTGCAATAATGATAAAAACAGTAAAAGGTATAATGTAAGGATTAGATCGTATTACTTGAATGGTAAATGTCCTACATTTACATGGAGTCCTGGAACCCCCAAGGTGCTTTACAACACAGTCAGTCATTCACCCATTCACACACACATTCACGCCCTGGTGGTGATGAGCTGCAATGTAGCTACAGCTGCCCTGGGGCACACTGACAGAGGCGAGTCTGTCGTACACAGGTGCCACAGGTCCCCCCCCACCACCACCAGCAGTGGAGGTGTCTTGCCCAAGAACACAACGTCCGCGACAGACTGAGCAGGGATCGAACCTGCAACCTTCCGATTACGGGACAAGCACTTAAAGGTTGAATATGGAACACAGGCACTCTAGCAACATCTAGTGTTTAGAGATGGTAGCTGCAGCAACATTTCCAGCCGTCGGGGTGTTGGTTCACTGCTGACACGTTAAGTGGCCAGCCAGCACCGTGTTCAGTGATGAATCGTACAGGATAAGGATTGATTTCTGCTAATATGTTGATTTTACAGCTCTTTTTACCATTAGAACCTCTTGTGGGCCGCTTCAGCTGCTTGACTTGTCCAGTCTGCCATTTTACAAAGTTCCAGCCTCGCCTTGCCCAGCAGACTTTTTAGCAAGCGGTGCCCTCTAGTGGCTGGTAGATGTAAACATAAACCCAGTGTCGTGCCCAACAAAATAACATTTTTATTTATTTATTTATTTTTTTGTCTCGTCTCATCTTCTTCCGCCTATCTGGGTCCGGGTCGCGGGGGCAGCATCCCAACTAGGGAGTTCCAGACCGTCTTCTCCCCGGCCACCTCCACCAGCTCCTCCGGTAGGACCCCAAGGTGTTCTCGTGCCAGTTCAAAGACGTACTTTCTCCAACGTGTCCTGGGTCGACCAGTGGGCCTCCTGCCGGCAGGACATAACTGAAACACCTCCCTAAGGAGGCGTCCAAGAGGCAAGCTAACAAGATGCCCAAACCACCTCAACTGACTCCTCTCGATATGGAGAAGCAGCAGCTCTACTCCGAGACTCTTCCGAATGTCCGAGCTCCTCACCCTATCCCTAAGGCTGAGCCCGGCCACACTGCAAACTGGCAGACGCTGCCCCAATCAGCTTCATGAGCTGGAAGCAGCTCTAACGTTTCTGTTCTTCCTGTTACTCTTTGCACTTCTTTTATCCTAAAAATTAAAATGTAGACCATTTGTTTAGGCAAGATTACAGAGATGATGTTGGGGTTTAGGAAGTAGCTATGCTATTATTATCATCATCATTATTATTATTATTATTATTATTATATAATTAAGGACAGGTCGATTGTTGGTAATCAATGTGCTTATCTTAATACTCCGCATCATTTAAAGGTCGAGTTAAGTCGTTTCTGACTGAAATGGACTAAGCACCCTTAAAGCATATTTTACATATTTACTATATTAACTACATCAAAAATGGTTTGGAAACCATTCATTTAAATAGTAATCAGCTAACAATTATATACAAGTTCTGATACAAAACTAACACACAGAAAATAAATGAATCTTATGTCAAATATATTTTTAATTCAGTTCAAACATCGGATGACTCTGAAATTATAACAAACAACTTTAGCGGCACCGCGGGGCGTGACGATAGGATGTGTGTGATTAGCTTCAACTATGAATTGAGATTTAGACTTTCATTTATTTTTTATTTAACTTAATAATATTTTTCTTTACCAAGCTGTGATTTAAAAGCAAATGTGAGAATTGAGAGAATGGTAATGAATAAATTCAGAAGATAAACGTTTAACAGAAGGAAACAGAGTTTGTTAGATGAGATGAAAACTGTTGTTTTCACCTGGAAACGGCTCGATTTGATTTCTGCTGTCATCGGTAAGAAGATCGGTCTGTTTTCTGCCATAACCTTTAGAGTCTGGTGCTTTCTTGGTAAAATGAGTTATTAATAGAACACACTTGTTCACGCGGTGCTGCTCCTGCTCTCACTGAGCAGAACTAATGGATGTTCTGGGACCCGCTCTCCTCGGCCAACTCAAACACACCTGTGTGACATTTCTGCAGATTGGTCGCCTGGTCATTGGACACCACGGGATCATGTCGACTCCAGCCATCTCCTGTTTGATCAGGAAACACAAAGCCATCGGTGGCATCGTCCTCACAGCCAGCCACAATCCCGGTGGACCTGATGGAGTCTTTGGCATTAAGTTTAATACAGCAAATGGAGGTACGGTAAGCTGAGAGGGGGGAGCGTGCACGGCCAAGAGCTAAACAGGAGCAGTCAGAGATTACAGCAGGCAGTAAAAGGCCCCCTTTAGACAGCCGGTCGCAGAAAATTCCGTAGTCAGCAAAAATGATCTGCACCGATAATATGAGAGTAGAAAATCAGTGGGTGGAAGGTTGTGCGGCCCAGAACAGATCTGTGAAAAAGAATCTGTTCCCTCATGAAAATGTTTCAGAGCAGCAAGCAGACGTCAACATCAGACAGCGTTAGTGTGATACTGACCCCGAAACATCAGCGTAACCGCAAACCGTGTCTCCTGCTTCTAGGACCTGCCACAGAGGCCGTGACAAACAAGATCTTTCAGATCAGCAGGACCATTGAAGAGTGCGCTTTTTGCCCCGGACTGCGTGTAGATCTAAAATCTCTGGGAAAACAAGCCTTTGATCTGGAGAACAAGTTCAAGCCTTTCACAGGTACGGTCGTGTCATGAGAGCGTCACCTCCAGCTCCACCTCTGAACACCTGATCCTGACTGGAGGCATGGATCTGTGCAGCTTCCACGTGTTCTGAAGCACTGAACAGCCTCACACAACAACGTTAAACCACAATAAAGAGCAACATCTTAGTGTCCTAACACCCAAAAAGAAGCACAAAGCATACTACCTTACGCAGCCAAAGCATCCTTCACTGGGCTGTTGAGTTGTTGAGCTGGAGGTGTTTCCTGCATAATCACAGTGGTTTCAAGATCGGATAATTACTCATACCTAAATGTGTTAAGGTTGAAAATATTTCAGTCCACCAAGAAACCGTTTTTTACTTGTTATTTTTTAAAGGGACGTTATGGAAGTTTGACAGCCAAAACATGTATAGAAATAATAAATGTCTTCTTCATACATTCTCCTGCAATGCCCTGGTCCTGTAGAATGAGCCCTGGCATTTTTACTGTGATTGCCTGTTTTTCTGTAAAATCACAGAAAAAGAGAGATGCTCGGGTCGAGCAGGCTGCTTCATGCGCGTTCACGCTCAGGCATCGCCCGTAGCATTTGCTATCCGTAGCTTTAGCAGCAGAGAGAGAGGCAGTGCCACTTTGTCACTGTTCCTAACGCCTAGTGACGAACCCAGCTACATTTCTGACGACCCTTAGGTATTTTCTTCTAGATATTTCCTGCAAATTAGCAACAAATTAGCCATTTTCACTCTGAACCGTTCTTTGAACGTTGTTTTAGCTGTAATCAAGGATATAAATGTTACAGATACAAAAGACATCATTGTTGTTTTAGCTCATCTAGTTAGACGTCGGACTCTCGTGCAAGAGACCTGGGTTCGATTCCGGATGTGAACATAGTTTATTTAGAGTTTCTTTTTTACATTAATGGTATATTTTTTTTACAGTAAGATGCCCAAATTTTTATTTGAGACTCGCCGAACGGCATTGAATTCCCAGATAAAAAAGTTGTGGGTTCAACTTTCATTTTGGAACAATTTTTCAAGCAAGGGAAGGGAATGATCTGAGCATGCAGGAGGACTGACCCATCATAAACCTTTGTCAGCTGTGCTGAAGAGAAAGGTACAGAACCAAATTATTTAATTAATTAGCTGCACGTTCTCCTGTCCTCTGTCCTCCGGGCCACACACACACACACACACACACACACACACACACACACACACGGGACTGTCTCATCTGTTATTTTCGGTAAGGAGTGTGCACGTACAGCATGCACGCCTCGTGCACGAGCCTACTATTGAAGCTGCCGTTACGCTTTTGGCCTGAGGGGGCAATCGCGAACATAAAAATTCAAAAGTCCGTAAAGTCCCTTTAAATATGATTGATCACTCTGAGTTTCACATGTAGGTCAAACACGAAAATGGTTTCAGTTAGCTAATACAATAGAGTTTAACACCTATTTCCTACGCTAGCCGCAGATAGAACATAGACGGTGAAAAGCTCAGGTTAGAAAAGCTAGTCAAATCTACGTCACACTGAATGTTAGCATTCATAGATTCACCCATCTTGGCTCACAGCAGAGAAGGTTGTTGTTGCTTCAGCGTCCAGGAAACAGCAGAGAACATCTCTGCTAGAAGCTAGCTGTTGGCATTAGCAACTCCACCACACAGCAGAGCTGTCACAAACAGAACTCAGAAGACCCGTGAAGACGCCAACACAGTAAAAATATATATAAAAAGTCTTTATTGAAAGCAGAGGTACCTGGAGGGCAAGGCTGAGGCAGGTTCAGAGGCAGGCTAAGGTCAAAGTGGCAGGCAGAGAGCAAGGCAGGGGTCAGGCAAAAAACAAGGTCCAGAGGCAAAGATCAGGCAGGGTGGATGGCTGGAGAACTACTGACAAGGCTGTAATAATCTGGCATCTGTTGACTGGATGGCTGGTTCTTTTATAGCAGGGGAAGCAGGTGAATGGGATGAGGCTGATTACAGGAGCAGGTGGAATGAATGGAGCTGATTGAAGCTGACAGGTTGCTGGGGAAAGCAGGGCTTGGCTGGAGCTTGGTGAGAGGAACCAGGTGAGCTGAATGAAGGTATAATGAGGAAGTGGAGGAGGGTGAAGGATGGGAGTCATGACAGAACCCCCCCCCCTCAAGGGCGGATACCAGACGCCCACAGGAAACCAGAGCAGGGTGGGAGGAGGGGGACCAGGAAGGAGGGCCAGAGCAGGGCGGGAGGAGGGGGACCAGGAAGGAGGGCCGGAAGGGTCTGGGGGGCCGGCGACGGGGAACCAGGAGCCGAGACAGTGGGAGTCTGGGGGGTCGGCGACGGGGAACCAGGAGCCGAGACAGTGGGAGTCTGGGGGGCCGGCGACGGGGAACCAGGAGCCGGGACCGTGGGAGTGTGGTGACAGAGGACACTGGACCAAGACTAAGACTAAGACTACGAGGGGACACTGGACCACGACTAAGACTACGAGGGGACACTGGACCACGACTAAGACTACGAGGGGACACTGGACCACGACTAAGACTACGAGGGGACACAGACTCTGGGACTTGAGGGGACACAGACTCTAGGACTTGAGGGGACACAGACTCTGGGACTTGAGGGGACACAGACTCTGGGACTTGAGGGGACACAGACTCTGGGACTTGAGACTGGGGAACTTGAGACTGGGGAACTTGAGACTGGGGAACTTGAGACTGGGGAACTTGAGAACAGGAGGGGTCCTCTTCAGAGCAGGAGGGGTCCTCTTCAGAGCAGGAGGGGTCCTCTTCAGAGCAGGAGAGGTCCTCTTCAGAGCAGGGGCAGGAGAGGTCCTCTTCAGAGCAGGGGCAGGAGAGGTCCTCTTCAGAGCAGGGGCAGGAGAGGTCCTCTTCAGAGCCTGGAGGTGTCGACCCTTGGACTGGAGGCTCGTGGAAAGGTTTCACCGGAGCCCCTGGGACAGGCTGGGCCAGAGCCCCTTGGACAGGCTGGGCCAGAGCCCCTTGGACAGGCTGGGCCAGAGCCCCTTGGACAGGCTGGGCCAGAGCCCCTTGGACAGGCTGGGCCAGAGCCCCTTGGACAGGCTGGGCCAGAGCCCCTTGGACAGGCTGGGCCGGGGCCTCTTGGACCTCATCCGTCGAAGCAAGATGCGATGCGTCCTCCCGGACCACCGCCAGAGCAGGATGCGATGCGTCCTCCCGGACCACCGCCAGAGCAGGATGCGATGCGTCCTCCCGGACCACCGCCAGAGCAGGATGCGATGCGTCCTCCCGGACCACCGCCAGGGCAGGGTGCGATGCGTCCTCCCGGACCACCGCCAGGGCAGGATGCGATGCGTCCTCCGAGACCACCGCCAGGGCAGGGTGCGATGCGTCCTCCGAGACCACCGCCAGGGCAGGGTGCGATGCGTCCTCCGAGACCACCGCCAGGGCAGGGTGCGATGCGTCCTCCGAGACCACCGCCAGAGCAGGGTGCGATGCGTCCTCCGAGACCACTGCCAGAGCAGGGTGCGATGCGTCCTCCCGGACCACCGCCAGAGCAGGGTGTGATGCGTCCTCCCGGACCACCGCCAGAGCAGGGTGCGATGCGTCCTCCCGGACCACCGCCAGAGCAGGGTGTGATGCGTCCTCAGAGACCACCACCAGAGCAGGGTGCGATGCGTCCTCAGAGACCACCGCCGGAGCAGGGTGCGATGCGTCCTCAGAGACCACCGCCGGAGCAGGGTGCGATGCGTCCACCGGGACCACCGCCGGAGCAGGATGCGATGCGTCCACCGGGACCACCGCCGGAGCAGGATGCGATGCGTCCACCGGGACCACCGCCGGAGCAGGATGCGATGCGTCCACCGGGACCACCGCCGGAGCAGGATGCGATGCGTCCACCGGGACCACCGCCGTAGCAGGATGCGATGCGTCCACCGGGACCACCGCCGGAGCAGGATGCGACACGTTGGAGGGTTCTGGGGAAGGTGACCACCTCTCACAGCAGGTCAGACCCTCCATGGCGACATCCTTCAGTGCAGACCCATATACCCTCCGGACATAAAGGTAGTAATTACCAAGTGCTGGGACCGCTATCAACTCTGGATGGGTGGAGAAGATGACATTTAACCTATCAGCCGCCCGCAGACGTAAGTGGGGGCAGGTTGACTTGGCAAAGACCTCCCACACAGCCTCCTCGACCATCTGCATCATCCCCTGAACAATCTCCTCCGTCGGGACCGGTCCAGAAGCAGAACATGAGGTGCCGTCCGTGGAACCCGCCGACACCAGCACGGGAGAAGGATTAACCCTCTTATCAGCTCCAGAAAACCTCCGGGACCGCCGCCGTCGTGACCTGACAGGAGGGGTTTGAGGCTGGAGCGGCGTGGTCATGAACCCGCTGCACAAGACGTTTGCAGCAGGCCTGGACAGAGGAGTGGAGCCTCTGCGTGGCTCTGGCCTGATGGCCAGCCGCGTTCCCCAGAACGGTGACTCCTGCTCCTTCTCTAGCTCCATAAACTCCAGGAGCGTGAGATCCTCCATGACAGGTACGATGAAAAAAAAGAAGAAAAAAAATACTCCAAGTGCTGTGTCAGCGTTGGGTCAGATTTTTGGCCAGATTATTCCGTCACAAACAGAACTCAGAAGACCCGTAAAGACGCCAACACAGTAAAAATATATATAAAAAGTCTTTATTGAAAGCAGAGGTACCTGGAGGGCAAGGCTGAGGCAGGTTCAGAGGCAGGCTAAGGTCAAAGTGGCAGGCAGAGAGCAAGGCAGGGGTCAGGCAAAAAACAAGGTCCAGAGGCAAAGATCAGGCAGGGTGGATGGCTGGAGAACTACTGACAAGGCTGTAATAATCTGGCATCTGTTGACTGGATGGCTGGTTCTTTTATAGCAGGGGAAGCAGGTGAATGGGATGAGGCTGATTACAGGAGCAGGTGGAATGAATGGAGCTGATTGAAGCTGACAGGTTGCTGGGGAAAGCAGGGCTTGGCTGGAGCTTGGTGAGAGGAACCAGGTGAGCTGAATGAAGGTATAATGAGGAAGTGGAGGAGGGTGAAGGATGGGAGTCATGACAAGAGCTCCTTCAGGCGTGTGTTATTTGTGGAGATAAAACATCAACACTGGAGAGCAAACAGTCAGAGTCATGTTGCTGTTAGCCAATCAGAGGCAAGATGTCTGGATATCAGGAAATAAGATCCTTCCATTTTCTGCTCCCCTCTCCTCTGGCTAACTTCTACTTCCTGAAACAGGAGCGCCAGAGCTTTTTCAGATCAACTCACTAGACATTGATTTATATTAGAGACCACTGAAAACGTGTTGAAAAAGCTAGCAAGTTTGGTCATTAACTTTCCTGTATGAATCAAAACAGAAAGAAAGGACATAATATCCGCAAACTTGTGTTTGTCTCTTTGTATATTTCTATGAATGACTCTTTATTTTTATATTTATGTGAATGTCTCTTTCCTTTTTATAATTTTTGCATCTTTTCTGGTTGTGTCCAGTGGAAATCGTGGACCCCGTGGAGTCCTATGCTAACCTGCTGAGGAATATCTTTGACTTTGCTGCTTTGAAGGAGCTTCTGTCGGGCCAGAACCACATAAGCATCAGACTGGATGCCATGCACGGTGGTGAGGAAACATTCACCGGGAACAGATTAAAAAACGGCTGACCAAAAGTGCTGTTTCCTCTGTGTGCTCCTCAGTGGTTGGACCGTATGTGAAGAGGATCCTGTGTGAGGAGTTGGGCTGTCCTGCCAATTCTGCAATTAACTGTGTCCCTTTGGAAGACTTTGGGGGTCAGCAGCCTGATCCTCACCTCATGTACGCTACAGATCTGGTTGACAGCATGACAGACGGACAGTATGATTTTGGTGCAGCATTTGATGGGGATGGGGTGTGTTCATGTTCTATTATTCATACTTTTAATCAGTAATAACGAAAGTTAATCGTCACATGTTTAAACAATATTCTAGATCTTTTAAAGTGGGGTTCTTGGGATATTTATTAATAGTCCATATCCTACCTGTAGTAGGCAGCTTTTGGGACAACCTCTGTTCAGAGAAATACAGATTATAATTGGACTGACAAGCTAACTGCTAGTCTGAGCATTACCACAAGAAAGATGATTGGTCTTGTGTATAAATACATCAGATCATACATTAGTTCTCGCTACTACAATTTGGCAGAAATATAATAGTTATTGTCTCAGTTATAATTAGCGATGGGTACCGAATTCAGTACTTTTGAAGGTACCGACCGAATTCCATGGTACCGACTGACGATTCACGTCATTTCAAACGGTGCCTCGTTTCGGTACCCGTCCTTCATAACGAGAACTTGCCTAGACAGCTGCGCATGCGCAAGAGCGTTATGTCGGTCGTTGCGAGCCAGTTGTAAACAGAGCAGCATGGTAGAAAGAACGCACGCTAAAGCTTGGGTCCACTTCACTAAATGTGATGGGTAACTGGGTGATGATGAAACCAGCGACAACGATCTAAGTGAGACATCCTCATCTTAATCTGCTCCGGTAGGTAAATAAAAGGTTTAAGATAACGTTAGCTTGATATGTTAGCTTCTGATCTGCTAATGGTGCGTTCGCTTTCTCCTCGGAACTCTGATTTTCTGACTAGAAGAACATGAACGCACTCTAAAGTTTGGCTTCACTTTACTAAATGCGACGGGTGATTGGGTGAAGATGAAACCAGCGACAAAGATCTAAGTGTGAGGCATCATCGTTTTAATCTGCTCCAGCAGCTAAATAAACTGTTTAAGATAATGTTAGCTTGATATGTTAGCTTCCATTGCCACCATTGTTATCAGCTAATGGTGCGTTCGCTTTCTCCTCGGAAATTCTAACTTCCCAGTAGGAAAAATCAAATGAAAAAAGACGGCAAAAGGAATGAAGATACAGAAAATTTAGTTCACAGTAAAGATGTTTGCTTCAGTTTAATTAGAAGCTTATAAAACTACAAGGACGATGTTAAAATACAAACAGTTGTATGTTATTTATCGTGATATTTATCAAATATTTTTATATATTGAGAAAAATATATATTTAATTATAAAAGAGAATTAAAATAATAAACACTCAAAAGTATCTAAAATTGGTACCGTTAAGTACCGGTATTGATTCCTAGGTACCGGGAATTAGTACCGGATCGATTCAAATGTCAAAGGTACCCATCCCTAGTTATAATTCACAGTGATGTAAAAGCTTCTGCAGTTGCGTTTATGAGTTATCTTAAACTCTAAAAAAAGACGCAATCCACTTTAATCTGGACCCTACTCAGCTTAGCCTTTAGCTCAGTCAGAAAGGATCTATGTTTCTCCAAACAGAGGTTGTTCAAAGTGTTATCTACATGTAAAATATTCATTGATTGCATTTTATTTGAACTTTTATCCATTATTACCATTTTTTGTTTGTTTTTTACAGTGCCTTTCATATGCACTCATACCCTTTACTTTTACACATTGTGACACGTCACAACCACAAAGTCAAATGATCTTGCTGGGATTTTCTGTAACAGTTCAACACAAACTGGCTGCAAGCCTTTCAGGGTATGCCTCTGCCAGCTTTGTGCAAATTAGACTCTCCTTTTCAATCTCAAATCCTTTGCAACGTCCAACAGGTTTTCTTCCAGGATTGCTCTGTATTTATCTCCCTTGTTCCTGCAGAAAAGCATCCCGACAGCATGTGACAGTGGGGATGGTGTGTTCAGAGTAAAGAGCAGTGTTACCTTTTCTTTGCATGTGGCTTTGGTCTGACCAGAGCACCTTCTCCCACGTGTCTGCTCTGTTCCTACATGGCTCCTAGAAAACTGAGAAGGCAACTTTTTCATGTTTTTCTGTCAACAATGGTTTTCTGGCCGATCTTCCACGCAGACCAGATGTGTGGAACTTCTTGTTATCCTTTGGACAGATTGTCCCACATGAGCTTTGGATTTTTACAGCTCCTCCAGAGTGATCAACGGCCTCCTGGAAGCTTCTCTGACCAGAGGTCTCCTTGGTCACTCTGAGTGTAAGTGGGCGGCCGTGTCCTGGTGGGTTTGCAGTTGTAGCGTATTAAAACCTAACCCTGTTTAACTTATCTCCAAACTTTGGTAAAGTGGTAAATGGCCTGTATTTGATATAGCGCCTTCTAGAGTCCTGGAACCCCCCAAGGCGCTTTACAACACAATCAGTCATTCACCCATTCACACACACATTCACACACTGGTGGGGATGAGCTACGATGTAGCCAGAGCTGCCCTGGGGCGCACTGACAGAGGCGAGGCTGCCGAGCACTGGCGCCACCGGTCCCTCCGACCACCACCAGCAGGCAACGTGGGTTAAGCGTCTTGCCCAAGGACACAACGACAGCGACAGACTGAGCGGGGCTCGAACCTGCGACCTTTCTATTACGGGGCGAGCACTTAACTCCTGTGCCACCGTCGCACTTTACCTGACCTGTCTGGTGAGTTGGTGTTTATGATGCTGTTTGTTCAGTACGGCTCTCTAACGACCCACTGAGGCCTTCACAGAACAGGCGTGTTCACTATGAGACTAGTGGGCCATTCCCATCTGTACCGGGTCGGCCCGGGCCGGGTAGCGTAGGTTGTTTACATATCTGGGTGGCCTGGTATTTTTCCGGGCCAACCAAGGCTCATTCTCAGCCCTCTTCTCGAGGGGGTCTGCTTCAGGCCGACCAGGGCCAACACGCCCACTGCTGACAGCAAATTCACACCTTCCATTAGAGCAAGCCTCTGATTGGTGGGTAGAATCAGCCCACATGGGCTTAAGACAAGGATGTGTGGAGTCAACCGGGCCAGGCTGGGGCCGACTGGGGCCGACTGGGGCTACCCGGCCCGGGCTGACCCGGTACAGATGGGAATGGCCCATAAATGAGGTGATCTCTGAAGCCACCTGGCTGGCTGGGATGTACGAGTACAGCGGGGCTGAATTCAGATGCACACGGATCCTGACTACCTTCTCTTCTTGCTGCTGTTTCTGAAGATTCTGTCTTTCCCAAATCCCGTATTCATTTTTCGTATTCCCTTTCTTTCTTTCTTCTCATTTTTAATTAAAAAATGTCCATTTACCTATTTTTAAATCCCTTTAATGTATGTATTTTTAATAATTTCTTTTACTTTTTAACTTTTTTGTGCTCGTGAGGCACTTTGTGATTTCACTTCGAGAGGCGCTATATAAAAATAGTTTCTTTTTCTTATTTTCAAAATGTTATTTGCTCAAAAATGTGAAAACCAGGCATCAATTTACCTCCAGTTCACAATTATGCATCACGTTGTGTTGGTCTGTCACAGAAGATTTCCGTAAAAACATTTACATTTGTGGTTATGTTACTTTTACTCCTTTTTAATTGTACTTTATAGGAGTTTGGAACAGCAAGGCTGTGTTTATAAATGTGTAATACAGAAAAACTAGACATTAACCTTAAGTTTCACCTGGAACCCCACTACTGAAGATGTACCTGTAGGTGACTTTGCTCCTGAGCCCAGACCTCTGCCTCTCGTTTTCCAGGACCGGAACATGATTCTGGGTAAACGGGGTTTCTTTGTGACCCCGTCTGACTCTGTGGCTGTGATCGCTGACAACATCTTCTGCATCCCGTACTTTCAGCGCACGGGTGTGAGAGGTTTTGCTCGCAGCATGCCCACGAGCACCGCGTTAGACAGGTAACGCTCTGGCCAAGCCTGCCAGCCTACTCGGCTCCGCTTCACGTCTGATGCCAGAAATGCTCTTTCTGTGAATTTCCTGCAGAGTAGCCAAGGCTACAAAAATAGAGCTATACGAGACTCCCACTGGGTGGAAGTTCTTTGGAACCCTGATGGATGCGGGCATGTTGTCTCTGTGTGGAGAGGAGAGCTTTGGAACCGGTAACTACCTCCACAGGATCCAAGTACAGAGGGTGGATAGAGTTGCTTCTGTGGTTGTTGAACACCGCTGTCCTTCCAGGTGGAGACCACATACGGGAGAAGGATGGGCTTTGGGCCGTGCTGGCATGGCTGTCCATCCTCTCCACCAGAAGGCAGAGCGTAGAAGATGTTTTGAAGGACCACTGGTTAAAGTACGGAAGGAACTACTTCACCAGGTGAGATGTGGACACGTTAACGCCACACTTTAATCTGAGCCTGTCATATCTGAGCTACTGTTGATCTTCTCAGGAGGGGTTCTGTGGAAAGTTTTAAACAACAGCATTTTACCTGTTGAAGTTCAGCTCTTTGAACAGCCTCAGTTAGGAGAAGCAGCAACTAGTTTGATCTCATAAATAAACTGGGACCAAGACAATTTCTACAGATATGTAACCCTCGTTGCCTAGACGGAGCAGTGACAGTACTCCCACTATGGGGTGCCTACGCATGAGAAGGGTTGTCACGGTGTGAAAATGTAACCTCACGGTGATTGTGACCAAAATTATCACGGTTTTCGGTATTGTTGTGGTATTTTTTTAAATGTGTTACATTTTCAGACAACTAAATAAATCCTGTATATCAGGAAATATTGTCCTCAGTTTGTGTGTAAATTTTGCCTAAAATGTGTTATTTTGTAATTATGTTGTTTATTTGTTTACATTTTTTCCCTTTAGTCTTTAAAATACCAATATTTGCCCATAACTTCTTATTTTATGTCTGTTTGATGACATCATTTAAAAATATTAGATCAGATGATACTCAGTACTAGCCTGGCAAGCCAGACTAAATAAATGTATTATTTAGTCTGGCACCGCTCCATTGACGCTTCTCGGTTGTGGGGCGGCTTCAACCGTTGTCTTTCAAACGATCTCCAAATGCTACTGGACAAAGAATGTGACATACTCTTGTTTCACTCTGTTGCATCATCCCACCCACCAGGCATATAGAGTGCCCTGATTGGCCCACAAAGCGGATAAAGCTCTGTGATTTGTTCACTAAGCAGATAGAGCACTATGATTGGCCCACCATTATGGACCAATCACAGCTCTTTATGTGTTTGAAACCCCTCTAGAGAGCTGTGATTGGCTATATATATATATATATATATATATATCCTGAGACCTATATTGTTCAACCCTTAATGAAATAAACAGAATATATGAAACATGATAAACAGACTATATGGAGCATATTCCAGTGTGCTACATGTCAAAAAGTCACACACACACACACACACACACACACACACACACACACACACACACACACACACACACACACGGCGAGACTGCCACCTGGTGGGCAGCATGTGTCTTTACATCGTTCTGCTCAATCAGACAGAAATTTTAACAAATTGCAAATTCTGCCAACCCAATTTATAATTAAAAGATTTCATATTAAACTTGAGTCTCTATTGGCGTGTTTGCATCTATCTAAGCATTATGCAGATGTTTGTAACAAGACAACATGTGATTGATCTAAAACTTCTCATCCATTTAACCCAGATATGACTACGAGAATGTAGACATTGATGCAGCGTGTGACATGATGGAGGATCTGGAGATTTTAATCACAGATAAGTCCTTTGTGAAGCAGAGATTTGCTGTAGAAGACAAAATCTTCCAGGTTGAAAAAGCAGACAACTTTGAGTACACGGACCCTGTGGACAGCACCATCTCCAGGAGCCAGGTATCCAGATCTGTGCTCTTCTATCACAAAAGGGTTGCTCTGCCCTCAGAATATGTCTATGAGCCTCAGAATGAAGCCGGTCTGTGTGCATCAGAGTCAAACAGCTGATTCATAGGGCGTGTGCTGGACTTGTGTCCCTGCAGGGGCTGCGGATAATTTTCTCTGATGGATCTCGAATCATCTACAGACTCAGTGGGACGGGAACTGATGGAGCGACAGTCCGGATCTACATCGACAGCTTTGAGAAGGAACTAATTTTTGAGGACACGCAGGTGAAGTACAAGATGATGGTTTCGTGTTGTATCTGTTCAAAGAAACACACACACACACACACACAAAGGCAATAGTGCTTCTATGACCATACCATTGTCGTGTGGGACAGGTGATGCTGGCGCCCCTCGCAACTATCGCCCTAAAGATTTCTCAGCTTCATCACAGGACGGGTCGAAGAGGTCCATCTGTCATCACATGAGTCCCCCTCCACCTGTTTTCTTCATCACTTTATACCTTTTGTTGTTCTTCGATTTGTTCGTTTGTGTTGACAGTATACCTGTGTGTGGCTGTGGTGTGTAACTTGGTGAATCAGAATGCAATATGTAACTTAATAAACTGTTTTATTTAATTATGGCTGTGTCTTTCTCATGTATCCATCATTAATTTAGTTTATTATTTTTCATGACTGCCATTTTAAACCCATTTTAAGGGCTACAATAACCCAACCTTTAAAGTAAGAGCCACACTTGCTAGCAACCAGGTTAGCAACTCTTGTGTACTAATGGTGGGCAAGTGAACGTCAGTAGTGGTTTACTAGCAAATGTTTAAGCTAATATTTAAGCTAGTGTTGGCCAGTGTTGGGAACGTTACTTATTAGTTATAGTTACTGATTACTTTGTCAAAAAAGTAACTCAGTTACTAACTGAGTTACAAGATCATAAAAGTAACTAATTACCTAGAAAAATAACTACTTAGTTACTTTTTTCATTAAAGAATTACTACAATAGTGAAATATAAATGACTAATGACTGGAGCATAATAAAATGTATGTCCAAATGTTTTTTTTTATAAACCTGAATAATTTAAATAAATAAGCACTTAAATATTCCCTGGGTTCATATGGTAAAACAGTCGTGAGAGATAAGACGGGCCAAGACCAATAAGACACTTAAAAGCCATTAAAAGTTTCTTAAAATCGATCCTGAAACAGGGAGCCAATGCAGTGATTCTAAAACCGGAGTGATGTGCTACCGCTTCCTGGTCTTCGTCAGGACACGAGCTGCTGAGTTCTGTAAAAGTTGTAGACCTGAAGTATTCTTTTTTTGGAAGACCAGAAAGCAGGGCATTGCAGTAGACTATCCTACTGGTGATTAAAGCATGCATCCGCGTCTCCGAAAAATAATTAAATTCATTTTATAAACTACATACTGACTCTGTCTGAATTAATACGAAGTGTGTTTATGGTCCCTGAATAAGTGAAGAACCCTATAATATTCTGATTAAGCATTCAAAGATCAATCAGATTGACATTTCATATTTATATGGAATATCACATATTGATGGTCATAATTAGCATGTAATAATTGCTACACAGTCAGACTAAAGGATTGCAAACATACTGTAATAATAAAACTAATGCTGTGAAATGTTCTGAAATCTGTATATAGAAAAAGTAAAATATGATGCACAAAAAAAAAACTAAACCCAGAATGACAGTTTAATACAACTACTTAGTTTGTTTCAGTGTATTGTAATTGCATGTGAGTTATTAAAATATCCTTTAGAGTTTAAACCAAGCAATAATGACTAAAAGTAAATGATAAACCAGTACATTTTACTTTAACTTCATGCAATGAGAAACAAATATTTAACTTTATAATTCTTCAAGAAAATGTTAGAGATATTCCTAATTGTTTGTTTTGTACCTATGTAAGGTGTCTTTATATTGCATCCTTCGTTTCATTTGGATTATTGACAAGTTTCTAAACCACATGAACGCGAGGTTGATGGTTGTAATCCCAGGTCAAGTTTCAATGATGTTGTCGCTTTAAGAAAACACGTCACGCAACCCTACGTCGGAAGCCGGAAGTTGACCCACGGAGACGAACCTTCAGCAAATAAACAAAGAAGTCTAAAGGAAAAGCTTCAAGGTTGTTTTTTTTATTAGCAATGGCCGGAATTAAAGGTACTTTCTGAAATCCTGAAGATCCTGGTGTGTGTGACGAGTTCTGTCTGTTAAGTTGTCGTCCTGTTCAGGAAATTTGTTAGCTTGTTTGTAACTTTTTAAACCTTTGCTGAATCATTTTGACTCTCGCTGACCGAGTTTTTATAAGACATGTGACTTTTACAGTAACCATCCGGTCCCGGTGAATGTTTAGATCCCATGTTTCCGGTGACTTTGTTAGTTACTGTCGTGTGTCCTGTGTAGTTGTTTACACGGTAACGTCTCTGCTGTTGTAGCTCTGGTCGGGCTGTCGTTTAGCGGAGCCATCGGACTGACGTTTCTGCTGCTGGGCTGTGCCCTGGAGGAGTACGGGTAGGTGGCTTCAGACACTAACACCTCTACGCAGGTTCACTCATCTCTCTGGGAAAAACTAAACCATTCAAGGGTTGATCATTTAGTCGTTCCAGCTGATCAAACAGGATTTAGTTGTTTCTTATCACGGTGGTACTTTATCTGCCCCTAAATACATTTTCCAATCACCAGATTGAGTTCTGCTTTTTCTCACTAAAACATTCAATCCAGAGCTGAGACACTAAAGGCTTGAACCAGTAATAACACATAAAAACGTCTGCATGTGATGAAATGGTGAGATTATGTTTGACAGACATTTACTGGTATTTGAACATGTCTAACTTTTGTGAAAAACTTGTAGGACAATTCTGCTGAAAATGTATTAAACACTGGTTCCAGCATCATCATCTGTTTGCTTCGTGCTCACAGCCCGCTCTAATTGCACCCATTTAGCTGTGATTTTAATGAATGATGTAGGCACACACATAGATATGTAAATACCGTAAATCCTCTAATATTGGCCTGTATTCAATTAACGGCCGGGTATCATATTTTGGCCGGTGTCGGAGTCGGCGGAGGTGAATAATGGCCGTTTTTTTTATTGTGGCCGGGTGGAATGTGGTAACAAACAAGTATGAGGGGTGGTTGTGTCATCCGTCTCACTTTTGATTTGCCAGTGATAGACCATGAGGGTAACTTTAACCGTGCAGAGACGAAGAGGAGGCGAAAATTTGATATCAAGTTCAAAGAGAACGTGCTGATTATGCTGCAGAACACTCTAGGGAGCAGTAGGGGTTGTATGAACTAGTCACTAGTCGACTTCACCACTCTATAGTGACTTTTTATGCCTGTCATTGACTAGTCGCTGTCACGTGATAATGACCGGAAAGATGCAGTCCACGGAAAAGACTGCAGCCTGCTGTCAGCAGGTGACAAGCTCCTGCGCGTCGGGGGGGCAACGCGCTGTGCCAGAGCATCGGTACTGACACCCGCCGTAAAAACGGACATTTAACCAAAATGTGACCTTTACCCTCTTGCAACTTTACCTTCCCCTCACCCCCATCCTAACCTTAACCAGCTTGCGCATGCAAAGCTCTGATTGTTGACGTGCTCCAGACATCTGCGTCCTGAGCACGGCCACAGTAACATTATCAAATCAGGTGTCACCACCTCAAAAACTAATTTAACACGCGATCGTTCATGTCGGCTCATTTCCTTTTATGTTTTCTGTCTTTTATTCTTTTATTTGTGCCTGATGCGTTTCGCTGCTGTGGAGAGGGGTGCATCACCTGTTTTGTCCTCCGGTGACGCACCGATCACTGATGCGGCCGCCGAGCAGCGAGCACTTTGCTGTTTTTGCGGTCGGTAGATCTTTTAGAACTGCAGTTCAAAGGTAACTCATAAGGTGAATATATATGAAGCCAGGTAGCAGTTTCTCTTTAGGATTGAGAGGAGATGCAGGAAGATAATAAACAGACAGGAAAGAAAAATAGTCAAATAAAAACAAGTTAGTTTTTGTACCTGGTGGTTGCAACAAACAGACACCATTGAAGGTAATCAGAAGTGAGGAACAGAAAATGAAATAATTATTTTAATGTTTAGAGCAGCAGGAACTCCGAGAGGCTGCAGGCGCATCAGTGAGTTTGCGGCCGCTGCGCAGGGGGAGGGGGGAGAGGGCTGAAGCAGAAACTACCGTTGTTAAAAGAAATGTGTTTAACTTTGAAAATGTGGGCGCGATTTTAATTGTCAAACTCCAGCGAACCATTGGTTCATTTTGCTCAAATAGAAATAGAGGCCTGCCTCTAATTCTGGCCCTCCTTCCAATAAAGGCCTGGAGCTTGATGAGCTTGAGTCAAATACAGGCCCGGGCCTGTATTAGAGGATTTACGGTATAAACACTAGATGCCTCGTCCCCGCTGTTCGCCAATGGGATGCGGCGTAGGATCGGTGTCGGTACAGGATCGGCTCGGGGTCCTTCGACTGCAGATGACGTCAAATTAGTTGATTGGCTGAACATGAAACTTACGGAAGTTACGTTATCACGTTATGATTTTGATTGGTCAGAACAAATTTGCGGTCGTAGTCTTAGCGGTTGTAGTCCTGTAGTCCAAAAATCAACACTTTTTGGAGAAAATATGTTTGAATTTCTAAAGGAAATGTAAAATATAAGCAAATGATAAACGGTGACCCTCAAAAGCTCTTGATGTTGATGAAACGGGGCAAAATAAAATATAAGAACTTTATTGAAAGACACCAAGCAACATTTTAAGTCAAAGAATGTATTTAGATAACAACTAAGGAAATATACAGACGAACTCCACATTAATACAAACAGATATGGCTTCACATATAAGAACTGTTCTATTTTTTGTCAGTCCGATGTTGGTTTTATGCAGTTTCACATTCTTTACAAAACAAAGATAATATGGTGTTTTATTAACAAATTACAATTATAAAGAAAACATTTAGGTGTTAACAAACAAGAATTTATTAACAAAACTGCTGATGTCTTTCCAAAACGTGTGTGTGAAAGCCGAGTAGATTTGCAGTAATGTGACGTCATCGGCAGTCGAAGGACCCCGAGCCGATCCTGCACCGACACCGGCCATCTTACCTCAGACAGCTGCCCTCTTTCTTGACGCTGGGGTGTATGGTGCATGTACTGTTTAAATAACTCTAACTTGCTCAATTTTCAACCAATTTTCAAAGGTTTGATTTGTTATAAACGCCAGAGATGTGTCTATGATATAGGATGGGTTTGGCCCAGAAATACCTGTTATTTCACTCCACAAAACATTTAATCTTTCATAAATAACACATTTAATTGTAAGCTACAGCAACTTAAAGTATACATAGCCTGGTATTATATTATATAGATCTATCTGTCTGTCTGTGTGTTTGTTTGATTATTTATTTATTCCTGGTTTGTGAAATAGGATTTGTTTAGAGATGAGATTTCAAGGTTCTTTTCAGGTAAAGCCCACATTAAAAGAACGCAGATACAAAATCTGCACCCCAACAAAAAAGACAACCGACACCCAAATCATCTCTGTCAGCCAGAACCGGCCCGCCAGCAATAAAATTTAACCCAGCAAATGATTTTGTATTTTCACTATTTCTTAACTTTTGTTTTCTTATTTATTGACTTTCATTTATTAATTATAAGCTCTTTGGAAATGCGTTCTGAAAAAGTTAGGAAATACTCAAAACATAGATTAGGTTAATAAACAAGATGGATTACAGTAATAAAAAAGATAGATGGATAATGGATTGATCTTGTTAAGGAGATTTTTAACATTCATAAAACCAGATAAACAATGTATAGAAGAAGGTAGCAGCAGCAATGGAACAGCAGTTTCTTATTATTTTATTGACATAAAAACAATTAACAGACTGAATAATTTACAAGTGTGGGTTTTCTTTGCAACAGTTACAGATGAAAGGTGATCCCACGTTGTCTCAGTTTGTCACAGCGGCTATTCGAGCATCCGTGGGCTGCACGAAAGTCGGCCATGTTGACCCTCAGTCTTCACAATTAATAAAAGTGTATTTCTGCAAACATAAATCCAGAAATGTCCTGTTTTAATTTATCTCAGTATAAGTTTTGTGTAACAAACCAAGATGCTTAAAAACCACGGGCAATTTAGCATACATTGATTTAAAATTAAACGAGCGACTCCCACTGAGGTAAATAGTCAACTTTGTTTTGCTAAGCAGTGCACCCACCGTAGCCTCGTCATCTCTAAGCCAAGTTAGACAGCTAACAAATACAAAAACATCCACAAACAGCCATTTACACAACAATTGGGCTGGCGTAAAGTCGTTATTGGTTTTATAGAACCACATAAAATATCGATTGTGGTCTCAACCTGAATAACATGCAAATAGCCTAGGCGGGACACATGGTTCACAATTAAGCCACTTTCAGTCTCAAGCCCATGTGTTCTAAGGGTTGTAACAAGGCAAACCGCTTGTAAATCCGTTAATATTTCATCGAGTTAAGAGTGTTTTTGTTTAAGCTGATCACTCACCTTTCAGCTGCTACCATTGAGAGCGGAGAGGTCTGTTGTCTGAGGTAAGATGGCCGCCGTTTAGCTACGCCCTCGACTCCCGCCTTCGACATCTAGTGTTTATATACATATCTATGGGCACACACTTTACAACTTCCTCACATGACCAAATTTAGAGTTGTTTCGCATTGAGTCAAAAGTTTACAGTGACATATGAATGGATCCAGTCGGATCCGCCTCCAGGGGCTGGAGGAGGTGAAAGGGGTTGTCTGCAGCAACCACGGCGCTGTTGTATTGTTTGCATTTTGTATCGGGGCCTAACATTTAATAAATACAGTTTTTGCTGTGATAATATTTTAGAATGATCTGCCTACATCGGATTAATGAGCTGGGTGGAAATAATTCAGAGTGAAAATTTTAGCTTTCCTAAATGTCTGCTGATGGAATTCTTACAAACTTCAAATCATTCTATTAATTAAAAAAATCTCTGATAAAATGTAATCATTTGCTATGATATCTGTATTTGTAGAAAAGCTAAGAAGACAAAGAAGAAAATATCATTTCTATAGCGCCTCTCAAGATAAAAATCACGAGGCGCTTCACAAAAACAAAAAATGTAAAAATATAAAAAATCATTTAGAAAATGTTTAAAAATATATTTAAAATGAGCAAAAAATAGGCAATTGTGATTAAAAAGAAAAAAATGTTAAGAAAGAGAGAGAGTGAACAGGAAAGAGGGAAATCAGTGGATCCTGAGGAAGGTGGAATAGGTGGGGAGAGCAGAATAAAGAGAGAGAGGTGAAGAAGGTCATACAAAAGCCAGTTTGAACAAGTGAGTCTTCAGCTGCTTTTTAAAGGAGACCACTGAGTCCACTGATCTCAGGCTCAGGGGGAGAGAGTTCCAGAGTCTGGGGGCCACATCAGCAGATGATCTGTCACCTTTGACCTTTAGCCTGGTGCTGCACAACCAGTAGGCTTTGATCACTGGACCTCAGGGACCTGCTGGGGGTGTAGGGACTAAGAAGATCACCAATGTAAGATGGTGCTTGTCCATGTAAGGCCCTATAGACCAGAACCAGGATCTTGAAATGAGCCCTGAAGTTGACTGGCAGCCAGTGAAGCTGGAGGAGAAGCGGGGTGATGTGGGTGTGTTTGGAGGACTTGGTCAGAAGCCGAGCACAGGCATTCTGAACCACCTGCAGACGGTTCAGGGAGGTTCTGCTCAGACACGTGAAAAGAGAGTTACAGTAGTCTAAGCGTGAGGAGATGAAGGTGTGGAGAACTGTCTCAAGTTCAGAGTGAGACAGAATGGGACTCAGCTTAGCAACATTCCTGAGATGGAAGAAGGAAGAGTGAACAAGAGAACTGACATGAGAATCCAGGGTGAGAGCTGGGTCAAAGGTCACGCCAAGATTCCTGACGGAGGGTTTGGTGTGAGAAGCAAGCTGACCAAGAGAGTCTCTGACTTTGGGAACCAGCTTGTCTGGGGCACAGATGAGGATCTCAGTCTTATCTTCATTCATCTGTAGAAAACTCCCAGCCATCCAGGTGTTGATAGAGTCTAAGCAGGTGTGTAACAGCTGCAGCTTAGACATCTCATGGGGCTTAAAGGAGATGTACAGTTGGATGTCATCCGCATAAAGATGGTAGGAGATTCCTTTGAAGGAGCTCAGGATGTTCCAAAGAGGAAGCAGATAGAGGAGGAAGAGCAGAGGCCCCAGCACAGAACCTTGTGGGACACCATGGATAAGGGAGGTGGTGGAGGACCTAAACTTGGAGACGGCCACAGAAAAGGAGAGCTCAGAGAGATAAGAGGAGAACCACTCCAGAGCAGTTCCTGATAGGCCTACCCAGTCTCTCAGCCTCTCCAGTAGCAGGTGATGGTCAACAGTGTCAAAGGCTGCAGTCAGGTCCAGCAGGACCAGAACAGAACAGTCCCCTGCATCACTGTGAGTCAGAAGGTCATTAGAGACCCTAAGAAGAGCTGTTTCAGTAGAATGAGCTCTACAAAAACCTGACTGGAAGCTATCATAGATGTTATGTTCATCAAGAGCAGCTGTGAGTTGTTTAGCCACAACCTTTTCCAAGATCTTGGAGATGAACGGAAGTTTAGAGATGGGTCTGAAGCTGCTATGGAGAGAGGGGTCAAAACTCGGTTTTTTAAGAAGCTGAATGAAGCTAGGACAGCCACTGATGTGTCTTCATTAGTGACGGTTTTCATGCGTCCACATTTTGGCAAATCCAACACTGAACCAGTTTCACGAAACTTAGCAAGCAGTTTAACTGTAGCATGGGAGATGGGTGGTCTCGTCAGGTGACTTGCATTGAAATCTGCTGCAATGACCTGGTGACTGCGTTCACCAGATATCAACACAATATGCTCCTCACGTGTTAACCTCTTCGACGTGTCAATGGCTGTGATCACAGAAAAACTTGTAAATAACTCATGAAAAAATAGAGTTACTTTAAAACCAAGCACACCATTGTTTTTCCTTGTGAAATTCCCAATAAGTTTGATGTGTCACACGACCCTCTTCCTATTGAAAAAAAAAAGTTAGATCCAAGATGGCCGACTTCAAAATGGCCACCATGGTCACCACCCATCTTGAAAGTTTGTCCCCTCACATATACTAATGTGCCACAAACAGGACATTAATATCACCACCCATTCCATTTTATTAAAGGGACATTATGGAAGTTTGACAGCCAAAACATGTATAGAAATAATAAATGTCTTCTTCAGACATTCTCCTGCAATGCCCTGGTCCTGTAGAATGAGCCCTGGCATTTTTACTGTGATTGCCTGTTTTTTCTGTAAAATCACAGAAAAAGAGAGATGCTCGGGTCGAGCAGGCTGCTTCATGCGCGTTCACGCTCAGGCATCGCCCGTAGCATTTGCTATCCGTAGCTTTAGCAGCAGAGAGAGAGGCAGCGCCACTTTGTCGCTGTTCCTAACGCCTAGTGACAAAGCTAGCTACATTTCTGAGGACCCTTAGCTACTTTCTGTAGAACTTTCTTCTAGATTTTTCCTGCAAATTAGCAACAAAATAGCCATTTTCACTCCGAACCGTTCTTTGAACGTTGTTTCAGCTGTCATCAAGGATATAAATGTTACAGATGCAAAGGACGTCACTGGTGCTTTAGCTCACCAAGTAAGACGTCGGACTCTCGTGCAGAAGACCTGGGTTTGATTCTGGATGTGAACATAGTTTATTTAGAGTTTCTTTTTTACATTGATGGTATATTTTTTACAGTAAGATGCCCAAATTTTTATTTGAGACTCGCTGAACGGCATTGAATTCACAGATAAAAAAACATGTGGGTTCAACTTTCATTTTGGAACAATTTTTCAAGCAAGGGAAGGGAATGATCTGAGCATGCAGGAGGACTGACCCATCATAAACCTTTGTCGGCTGTGCTGAAGAGAAAGGTACAGAACCAAATTATTTAATTAATTAGCTGCGTGTTCTCCTGTCCTCTGTCCTCCGGGCCTTACACGCACACACACACACACACACACACACACACACACACACACACACACACACACACACACACACACACACACACACACACACACACACACACACACACACACACAAGGGACTCTCTCAGCTGTTATTTTCGTTACGGAGTGTGCACGTACAACATGGGCGCCTCGTGCACGAGCCTACTATTGAAGCTGTGTTACGCTTTTGGCCTGAGGGGGCAATCACGAGCATAAAAGTTCAAAACTCAGTAAAGTCCCTTTAAGGTGTGTCCTCATAAATGGCCCACCCTGCAGGTTGCGGAAGGATCAAAGCGCCCTGCGTCAAAACACATCAAATCCATCATACAGACTTCACCGATTCAAAGTGTGACCTTTTATTCCAGCAGCTGAAATAACTGACCCATTTGTCTCGAACCATTTTAATGTTGATTACATCTAATTCATCATGTTGAGACTAAGATTTCCACTAATAAAACTCGTTCTCCAACCTTTAGTCCTTCTCACCCTGTGTGCACTGCTCTCCCAGGGTCTACTGGCCGCTGTTTGTCCTGATTTTCTACATTTTGAGCCCAATTCCCACCTTCATATCTCGACGCGTCAGCGATGACGATTCTTCCAGCAACGCCTGCAGAGAGCTGGCCTACTTCGTAACCACTGGCATCGTGGTGTCATCCTTTGGCCTCCCTATTGTCTTGGCTCGACACAACACCGTGAGTTCTCTTCACACACACACACACCACCATGTGGTAAACTAGCAAATGTTTCCACATATCAATATAGCTTCAAAAACATTTCTATTCACAGGCAGAAATGTCTGTCATATAAAATACCATTTTAACTATCATTAACTGTGGTTAGTCTATGTCAATGGTTCTATTCAAGAAGTGAGTCTACATTTATATTGTATGAATTCACCACATGAAATTATTAATTTTAAGCTTTTATTTCCTTGTTGGTGTCATGATTATGGTAAATAATGAAATTTTGTAATTTCCGGGGGCCTCACCCTGAGCAGCTGATTAACTCAAACAGCTGTAAAGTTTTCCCGAGCCTGGAAATGGTCTCAGTCTAGGTCAGTACGCTGCACAATGGGGGAAGACTGCTGGCTGGACACATTTCCACAATACATTGTCCACATAGCAGGAAACTACAAAAGGTTCCCAGGGTGGTGGATCTAAGCGTGTTCATAGGAAGCTGAGCGAAAAGAAAGCGTGTAAGGAAAAGGATCTCCCAACAGGGAGAACCACTTCCTTGAGAGGATTGTCAGGATGAATCCATTCAGGAATCTGGGAGTGGACTGATGCTGGAGTCAGAGCATCAAGAGCGTCAGCACACAGCCCAATCTTAGACATGAGCTACCGACAACACTTTCAGGTGAAATCACTTCTGAACCAGAGAGCATCAGGAGCATCTCACCTGAGCTCAACCAGACCTGGGGGCTCGTTTATCTAACGTACTTAGACACAGATCTGTGCGTATTTTGTGCGTAGGAACAGTTCTACGCCCTGTGTGGTATTTATCATTTTTTACTTTTGCGTAGAAACGCTCCTGAATTCAAGAACATCTCTGACCGTACGTACGCACAGCATCTAGTGGCAGAACGGGGAAGCGCCATACCGAATGTCTCAGTCATCCAAATGTGTTTCTCATCCACAAATTTTATTTATCCAGTCTGTAATTTTGTCAGTGGAAAAACTGCTTTTTCACATAACTGGTACTAAAACCAATGAAAGACACACGTGACCGACGGGAATCTGACGTCATATCATGGCTGATCTGTTGTTGGAGGATTTACCAGAGCGTGCTCTCTCGAGGGAGCGCGGTCCCCGTGAGCGCTCTGATCTAAAGGAAATCCTTCTGCTGTGCTGTGATGTGGGACCCTTTGCGAAGCAACAGACAAACCTCACGAATCCGATCCCGGTTCATATTTTATTTTACAACTATGAGAACCGCCCCCAGAACCTCCTCTGCTCCATGATCATACGTGCCGTGTTGCCAAGGTAACCAGACTGAATGACAGCTCAGAGGCTGCACTCTCAGACAACATTTCCAAATAAAACCAACTCCAAGCAGAACGACTCCTTAAATGTAAACCCGTTACTCTACGATTTATCAAATCCATTTTATTTTCTGACGGGAACCTCTCCTCTGTCCCGACCACGTTTTTAACCTCTGTAACTCGTTTGGTTCTTTTGCGCTTCAGCAGCCAGTGTTTCGATCTCGTCAATAAAGTTTTTCTTATTTTTTCTAGAAAAACAAAAACCGGGGAATCCCCTCACGTGCTGAGGACGTAGCCTGACCAAATATGGTTAATTGAGGGCGCAGCTGAGTACGCGCACAAGTGGGATTTATCAGCTTATTGCGGAGGAACATGCGTACAAGAGGCCACCGCATGTTTCGTAAATCAGACTTTGGGCTGTTCGTACGAACATTCTAAATTCCATTCGTAGGATAGAATATAGGAATGTTTCTACGAACGTTTGATAAAGGAGGCCCTGGACTGTTGCTCAGTGGTCCGGAGTCCTCTTTTCACCTGAGAGTGATGTCTTGGGGTCATTTGGAGATCAAGTTCCCAGAGTCTGGAGGAAGAAGGCAGAGGCTCAGGATCCATGATGCTGAAGTCCAGATCGAAGTTTCCAGTCAGTGATGGTTTGGGGCGTGTCTTCTGCTGGTGTTGGTCCACGTTGTCTTCTGAAGTCCACAGTCAACACAGACATCTACCGGAACATTTTATGGCCCTTACACTCTAGCGTCAGCTCCGCTCTGTCTGGACCAGGTTGGGAGTGTTCTCGCTTCCTGTGCACAACTGGAAGTTTTTTCAGCCCTCTTCCCGAGGAAGTCCACCTGGAGCCAAACTGGTCCGACACACCCGCTGCTGGCTGATTGGCTGGCTCAGAATCACGTCTACCATTAGGGGGAGCTGGGGTGGGTGGAGTGGAGCCGATGCCAGTGTGTAAGTGGCATTAGAGACCCTCTGCTCACTTCTGCTGTTGAGGTCTATGAAGATGCTGGTATCATTTCCCAGCAGGACATGCTCCGGCCCACAAGGCTGAAGGTACCAGAAGCCGCTACTGTAGCCGTGTTTGATCTAAAGGAGTTTTGGGGAATTTGTGGGAGGAAGGAAAGTGGCGAGGACAATACGATGGCTTACACCTCTCAGCTGCTTTCTCAGGACTTTACTTAGATGTTGGCATATCGCAACCATTTTGTCACTGAGTGACATCACTGGTCAGCACCTCAATGCCTCCACGTTTATTAAATGTTATTGCAGCAGTACGCCAGCTGCACCCGCACCACTCAGATCACACAGCTTGCAGGTTCAACACTCTTTGTTAGCTCTTGGCTCTCTCAGCCCGCCTCAGAGCTCCACACCGTGCTCTCAGCACTCGTGACCTTCCCAGTCACCAGCAGACCCAGACTCCTCAGTGCTTTCTGTCTCCAGCATCTGTGCCTATGAAGCACCTCCTGCTTATTGCCAGTCAGCCTCTGCCGATGGGGTCCACCTCTCTCTGCTGTTTTAGCCATTACACCTGGCCTAGGTTCACGGCCGAGTGTGAAGCGACTGGGATGAGGATCAGCACCTCCGAATCTGAGACCATGGTTCTCGACCGGAAAAGGGTGGCTTGCCAACTCCGGGTCAGGGGAGAGGTCCTACCTCAAGTGGAGGAGTTTAAGTATCTCGGGGTCTTGTTCACGAGTGAGGGTAGGAGGGATCGGGAGATCGACAGGCGGATTGGTTCGGCGTCTGCAGTGATGCGGACGCTGAGCCGATCTGTCGTGGTGAAGAGGGAGCTGAGCCAGAAAGCCAGGCTCTCGGTTTACCGGTCGATCTACGTCCCAATCCTCACCTATGGTCATGAGCTTTGGGTAATGACCGAAAGAACGAGATCGCGGATACAAGCGGCCGAAATGAGTTTCCTCCGTAGGGTGGCCGGGCTCAACCTTAGAGATAGGGTGAGGAGCTCGGACATTCGGGAGGGACTCGGAGTAGAACCGCTGCTCCTCCGGATCGAAAGGAGTCAGTTGAGGTGGTTTGGGCATCTGGTCAGGATGCCTCCTGGACGCCTCCCTGGGGAGGTGTTTCGGGCATGTCCTGCCTGCAGGAGGCCCCCGGGTCGACCCAGGACACGTTGGAGAGGTTACATCTCCAATCTGGTCCAGGAACGCCTTGGGGTCCTGCCGGAGGAGCTGGTGGAGGTGGCCGGGGAGAGGACGGTCTGGAGCTCCCTAGTTGGGATGCTGCCCCCGCGACCCGGACCCAGATAAAGGGAGGAAGCCGACGACGACCTGGCCTAGTGTTGGGCTCATCAACAGCACGTGGATGTGTTGATCCTTGTGCTGTCAGTCCTTTTTATTGCTGTAAAATAATCAAAACTAAAGGAAACAACAGTTGGAATGGCTCCGCCTGTATCTAGATGTCTATGTAATATTTGAGACGGACATTTTGAATGGCATTCTAGTTCACTGAGCCGAACGTGTAAATGAGAACAAATCTGTGGCTTTCCGGTCTTAATGAAGCTCTCTCCTGTTTGCAGATCAAGTGGGGGGCCTGTGGCCTGGTGATGACAGGAAACGCCGTCATCTTCCTCACCATCCTGGGCTTCTTTGTTGTGTTTGGAGGTGGAGATGACTTCAGCTGGGAGCAGTGGTAGAGGGCTGTGGGAGAAAGCACCGACAGACGGGTGGAGAGATGGACTGCATACTGAGGGATGCTCAGTGTTGGCTTGTGATAGTAATGTATAGAAAACAAGAGTGTGACCTAAACCTGCACATGATCAGATAGGTTAGGTTTAGCAGACTGGTTTGCTGCCTATGAATGTGCCTTATGCTTGGGACCAGATGGACACTGATGCCTCTCATAAACACCCTCCCTATCCATCTTGACATGCATGTTTCAGCTTGCATTGCTGTCGAGCACCCCCAAACACTCTTGCAGCTATCTTCTCTACCAATAAGCCTCAGTTGTCACCAATTAAAGCATCTTAAAGAGTCATTATTGCCATTCACACACTGTTGAGCTCACTCCTGTTGAGGTGTGTAAACATGAAAAAGTTATTTTATTCAACAGTTCTATTCCAGAGTCGGGTGAAAGATCTATCTGGATGTTTTAGTTTTGCTTTTTGGCTGAAACCGTTTAATGCCTTGCTTTGTTTACATGCTCACCAAAGACCCGTTCAGACTGCTACTATACCACTGGGCTGTGGGGTTAGATTTGTGCACTGGTCTGATCCTTAGACCTGAAGAAGTAGCAGCATTAGTTTCAGATTCCGGTAAGGAAAACAAAGAGTAGTGACTAAATATAAATTAATATAAAATCACTTTATGGGTGTTTTTGAGCCCAGCGTATCTCTCTATTGTTCTTCAAGCCTATTTAGGACTGTCTGCTGTATGTGATGTATATTTCCTTAGCAGTGTGCTTTGATTTGTTTGGTGTTTATTTGTTGTCATCCTAATTAATAACGAGGTTCTGTGGTCAGCGCTTTTCACCTCTCAACGTCTGCAGTCATGTTTTCAGTTCCTGATTCTTTTATATTTGCTTCATCTCTGCGCAATCAGTGGGAATATGTATTTTATGAATGTAACTGACATTTTGAATACAGTCTGTGTGTAGAATACTGTTTCTATCTCAACACTAATCCAGACTCTGAGGGTGTTTTATGAGATTTGTTGTCTAACACACATTAAAACTCTCATGTAAGAAAATAGTCTCTTTGTTGTCATTAAAGAAGATCAGGGAGAGGATTCGTGTGTGTGTGTGTGTGTGTGTGTGTGTGTGTGTGTGTGTGTGTCTGTCTGTCTGTCTGTGTGTGTGTGTGTGTGTGTGTGTGTGTGTGTGTGTGTGTGTCTGTCTGTCTGTCTGTCTGTCTGTCTGTGTGTCTGTGTGTGTGTGTGTGTGTGTGTGTGTGTGTGTGTGTGTGTGTGTGTGTGTGGACTATAACCTACAGCATAGCTTTGACTAGAACAAACCTCACATGAAAGGTTGTGTGTGTGTGTGTGTGTGTGTACTTGTCTTTATATGTTTAAGTAGACACGTTTTGACTAACCTGTAACGTGGACATTTCCACGTTGTGGGGACATTTTGCTGGTCCACATAATGCTAAGCACCCTAAAACTTGGTTTTAGAGGTATGGTGTGAATTAGCTTAAAGTTTAGGTTATGGTTAGGAACAGAACCCCATTGGTTAGGGTTAGGCATAGTGGTGCCACTGAAATGAAAGGAAGTCAATGGAGGTCCACACAAACATAAATACACGTGTGTGTGTGTGTGTCTAGATGAAAGAAAACCAACACCTAACAGAAGTGCAGGTGTGACCCTCGTTGTATAATAACATTGCTGTATATGCAGGGCTGTCATGAGTCTGCACACTCCAGCTGAATGTCTCGCCTACTCCACCTGCACACAATTATGGTGTTTCATAAGCATCAACACTTACAACTGGACATCTTATAAAACTGAGTCGGTAATAAACACTTTGAATAAATTGCTTTGGAATGTACTTCACCTTTTTTACATGGGGGTGGGGGGGCTTAAAGTGTTTTATTTTTACTGGGTTACTATCAAACTCTGCATATCTGTTCACAAACTTGTCCTTTTCCATTCATATTTCTCACTAATATCTATTCAAAAATATTCTTAGCTTGAAATTTCACATTTTTACATACATAAACTGGTCAACGCTCCATAGTCACGCACCATCTTGAAATACTGTAGCTGTTTAGGGCCATACAAGACATAATTCTCTGCATTTCACATTTGTGCTTTGACATGAAAAGTTCTCCTTCCTCCAGTCAGAATTTAATTTGTCCACACAACAGGCCAAGTATTCAATTTCTAAATCACGCTGTGAATATTTTAAAGGTGGAGAGAGAGAGAGCAGGATGCAGAGAGAAGTCTCTCAGATTATTCCAGCAATTAATGTTAATCAGCAGGTGCTTGGACAATGAAACGATTAGCTCATGTCATTTTTACAGATCGCTATTTTCCTCTCCTCAACAACTGCATGACCATTCCTTCTGTGACCTGACTGAGGGTCTGGAAATGGATATTTTGTTGACTGAGTTTGTTTCTGCGATTCACAACATGCAGAGCAGCAAATCTCGGAGGGTTTTCCAGCTGAGTTTTTTTTAAAGAAACCTCCTGGACTGCCATCGCTGCTGTTGGTCTTTAATGAGTCCCTACTGCTCGGTCGGTTTGGCCAACTATATGTCAAGCTGTTATTTCTGTACTTTGAAAAAAGATTAAAACCTCTAATGCTGCAGCTCTTACAGAACGATGTATCTTTTGAACGTAGATTTCAGAATTCTTGCAAAGGTCATGGCTCGTCGCCTTGAGACGGTGCTCCCCACAGTTCTTTCGCCTGACCAGACAGGGTTGGTGAAGTATGGCAATCTCTTCTTAATGTTAGATGTCTGTTATGTTGTACACGCTTGCTCCACCTGACCAAAAAGCTGAAGAAGTACAGGTCGTTCTCAAAGAATTTGCATATTGCGATAAAGTTCATTATTTTCTGTAATGTACTGATAAACATTAGACTTTCATATATATTAGATTCATTACACACAACCGAAGTATTTCAAGCATTTTATTGTTTCTAATATTGATGATTTTGGCGTACAGCTCATGAAAACCCAAAATCCCTATCTCATAAAATTAGCACATTTCATCTGACCAATAAAAGAAAAGTGCTTTTTACACAAAAAAGGTCAACTTTCAAATCAGTATGCTTAGTTATGCACTCAGTACTTGGTCAGGAATCCTTTTGCAGAAATGACTGCTTCAATGCGGTGTGGCATGGAGGCAATCAGCCTGTGGCACTGCTGAGGTGTTATGGAGGCCCAGGATGCTTCAATAGCGGCCTTAAGCTTATCCAGAGTGTTGGGTCTTGCGCCTCTCAACTTTTCTTCACAATATCCCACAGATTCTCTACGGGGTTCAGGTCAGGACAGTTGGCAGGCCAATATAGCACAGTAATACCATGGTCAGTAAACCATTTAGCAGTGGTTTTGGCACTGTGAGCAGGTGCCAGGTTGTGCTGAAAAATGAAATCTTCATCTCCATAAAGCTTTTCAGCAGATGGAAGCATGAAGTGCTCCAAAATCTCCTGATGGCTAGCTGCATTGACCCTGCCCTTGATAAAACACAGTGGACCAACACCAGCAGCTGACATGGCACCCCAGACCATCACTGACTGTGGGTACTTGACACTGGACTTCAGGCATTTTGGCATTTCCCTCTGCCCAGTCTTCCTCCAGACTCTGGCACCTTGATTTCTGAATGACATGCAAAATTTGCTTTCATCCAAAAAAAGTACTTTGGACCACTGAGCAACAGTCCAGTGCTGCTTCTCTGTAGCCCAGGTCAGGCGCTTCTGACGCCGTTTCTGGTTCAAAAGTGGCTTGACCTGGGGAATGCGGCACCTGTAGCCCATTTCCTGCACAAGCCTGTACACGGTGACTCTGGATGTTTCTACTCCAGACTCAGCCCACTGCTTCCGCAGGTCCCCAAAGGTCTTCAATCGGTCCTTCTCCACAATCTTCCTCAGGGTCCGGTCACCTCTTCTCGTTTTGCAGCGTTTTCTGCCACACTTTTTCCTTCCCACAGACTTCCACTGAGGTGCCTTGATACAGCACTCTGGGAACAGCCTATTTGTTCAGAAATTTCTTTCTGTGTCTTACCCTCTTGCTTGAGGGTGTCAATGATGGCCTTCTGGACAGCAGTCAGGTCGGCAGTCTTACCCATGATTGCGGTTTTGAGTAATGAACCAGGCTGGGAGTTTTTAAAAGCCTCAGGAATCTTTTGCAGGTGTTTAGAGTTAATTAGTTGATTCAGATGATTAGGTTAATAGCTCGTTTAGAGAACCTTTTCATGATATGCTAATTTTTTGAGATAGGAATTTTGGGTTTTCATGAGCTGTGTGCCAAAATCATCAATATTAGAAACAATAAAAGGCTTGAACTACTTCAGTTGTGTGTAATGAATCTAATATATATGAAAGTCTAATGTTCATCAGTACATTACAGAAAATAATGAACTTTATCACAATATGCTAATTATTTTAGAAGGACCTGTATAGGCTGAAAAAGCATTTGGTCAAGTGGAGGGAGGCTACTTCTTTGAGATTCTGATAAGATTTAAATTTGAACCCAAATTAAAATCCTGGATAAACTGCTGTATCCCTCTCATTGGCAGCTGTTTGCAACAATAATACTATTTCAGATTTTAATCGTTGAACCAGACGGGGATTCCCACTGTTGCCTCTCCCAATTGCAGTTGTGTTTGAGCTTTTGGGTATTACCATGTGGCAGAACCAAGATATCAGTGGGATAAAGTTTGCCTTTATACTGACGATACGCTTTTATATATTTCATCTTCTCTTTCTACTATCCCCAAGCTGTTGACTCTTCATTGTCCATTTGGTCAGATTTCAGGTTAAAAGATTATTTTCAGAAGAGTGAAATGATGCCTGTAACTCCTTTGGAAGGACAGCTCACTAGTTCCATTCCATTGTAAAAAGCCCAGACAAATTTAAATATATGGTATTTGGATTTCGCATAAATTGGGATTATTTATAACCCTTTATTGGCAATCTCAAACAAGATATTTTATGATGGGAATCCTTGCCCCTGTCTTAGGGCGGAACACTGTTAAAATGACGGGACAAACTAAGCTCCTTTATTTGTTCCAGAGTCTCACGATTTTTCAAATATTTAATTTTTTTTTTTTTTTTGCAATTGGATTGAATGCTTTTGGGCTTTATGTGGCAACAATAGATGCCTGAGAACTAGTAAAATGGTGTTGCAATTACCTCGTGACCTAGTGTTTCTTAAATGTATGTATTATTACTGGGTTTATAATATAATGCATAGTTGTTGTGGCTGAGAGAGGGTGTTGATGTGCTGAGTTGGGTGACTTTGGAGAGAGCCTTGTTTCTCATATTGCTATACTGTGCTCTTAGCTGTCCCTGACACTTGATATGTTCATATTCTGCTAATCCCATTGTTGTTTAGACAATTTGTTACACCCCAGGTCATCTAGGAAACCTGGGGCAACAAAAGAATCTATTCTCTGTAGTTCAGAATATAACTCAAAGGTTTTATTTAACAGAACAGAGCCCAAAACACAAAGAACACTGACGACAACAGTGATTGGCGGCAACTAAACATGGTAGCAACTACTTCACCTCTAATTAGCCAAAATTATATACAAGTAAAAGATCATCCCAGCGGTGACTCCTCCCCCCCAGTGATGAGTCTTATTTACAACGGAATCGAGTGCAGGGTTGTCCCTGCTCAGAAAGGCAAAGTGGCTAACCAGAGATGTACATGTGCTGAGCGTCCCCAGCACAGAAGTACACCAAGTCGCTACTTCTAAGGTGACTTTAAGTGACTAAATCAAAGCACGCTGAGGAGATAACAGATCAGAGACAACATCTCTCATCTGCTGCTACATGAAGATGTGAGCCAGGAGGTTTTTATGCCTCCAGTCCTCAATCAGTAGGTGATTACCATCTCCAACAGCTTGGTGCTTCAGGGTGGAGCAGGGCAGAGTGGAAAGAGCCAGGTGCTGCAAATCAGCTCCTCAGGTACAATACAAGGAGGAGAATTATTAAACGCAAAAGCCAAGCAGCGATGAACGTAACATGATTAAAATCTGGAATCAGTGCAGACGACCTTTTGGTTTCCCTGAGTAGTCATTTGCTGCCCCTGTGACAAAGAACCACTTGTTTATTCCATCTGTGTTAGATGAAGCTTTTAATGGATGGGCTTCTAAGGGCATACACTCTATGACCTATTTGTTGATGGTACATTTGTCTCCTTCGAACAATTGGTGGTTACGTTTTATATCCACAACTCATGGTTATTCAGGTATCTACAACTGAAACACTTTGGGAAATCCGACTGAATGTTTGGGTTAGGGTATTATTATTAAATATTAGACTATTAGTCGTCTAGGAGACTAAGTAAACTTTACACCCAACTCGGCTCACACTATCGGATCAGTCTGGATGTTCTAAAACAAAAATGGGAGCTGCTGGGTGTTGGACTGTTGGAGGAGGTCTAGCAAAAGATGGTATGGAACATTCACAAATTCTCAATTTGTGTGAGACAGTGTCATCCGTTTCAATGCATTGCATCGTTTGCATTGGTCCGAGGACTGAAATTAAACCAAAATTGGACCCGACATGCTAGCATTGCAGAAGGTCTTCTTCAGATGTTCTGGACCTGCCTGAAGCTACAGAGGTATTGGTGTTTAATTTTCAATATGCTCTTCAAGATCTGTTGGACCTTTTTTTCTCAGAATTCTGACTTTTTGACTCCTGAGAAAATCAAACATTCTCAGAATTCTGAGAAAATCAAACATTATCTTCATGCCTTACTTACACGCCAGAGCCTGGATTATTGTTTGGTTGTCAGGGTTACCCGTGACAATCTGCTGATGAGCAGGTTAATGTACATGCTGAATATTGATAAAGTAGTTTGCATTGATCATTTATGGCAATAAGTGGGTGTGTAAGAGGCGGGATGTGGTCTAGAAACACCTCAGCACATTTTGGTGACAGGTGTGATTTATAAAGAAGAAACTGCATGCAGCAGTGCGTAAGCAGAGTTTACAGGTTGGTAAATTCACTTGTGTAAGTCTTTTTTTTTCTGAGCTTAAAGTTACAATGTGTAGTTTCACCATTAATCTCTGGAAACAACTAGTGATGGGATTTGTGGCTCTTTCATCGGAGCCGTTAATTAGTCGGTTGTTTACCTCAAAAAGCCGTTCAAAAGACTGGCTCCTTTTAATGAAGTAGTAGTAGTAGTAGTATCAAGAGCAACGTCTTCCTGCCGTGTCCGTGAGAGCACACGGGGCTGGTTAGCGTTCCTCCCATAGATATGTATATAAACACGTGTTTATATACATATCTATGGTTCCTCCTATGTCCGTCACAGCTGTGGGTGGGGTTTGAGCGGGTGAGTTTGACCGACTTCCGGGGATGTTTGTTAAGATGCACGGCTCTCTGCAGGGACTCAGCTCTCATCATTCACTTTGAAAACCCGTTCAAACGATTCGATTCGTTCGTGAACGTCACATCACTAGAAACAACCATCGACATGTTGCTGAAAAGGAATTACATGATTCCCAGTTGCTGAAAAATATTGGCAACTTCGTTACACATAACCATAAAAATCAGGTCTAAAATACGTCGGAGCGGGTCTAAGTCTCTGGGCGACGCCATATTAGATGCCAAGTTTCCATCTACAGGAGCCCATGAAGACAAAAGCCATTTACTGATTTGTATCAAGCTGTTAGATGCTTAGTTTGAAATCCTACTGAAATCTGACTATATATATATATATATATATATATATATATATATATATATATATATATATATATATATATATACACAATTATATATATATACACAATTATATATATGTGTGTGTGTGTATGTGTGTGTGTGTATACACATACATACATATATATATATATATACATATATATATATATATGTGTGTGTGTGTGTGTGTATATTCTGAACAAAACAATAAAAAATAATAAATTCATATATACACGCTAAAGTATATTGGCAGTCATGTTTTATTTGTATCTGATATGAAATGTGAAAAAACACAAAGGAGAAAGAAAATGTGAAGAAAAAAAGAGCCCAGGGACACACATTCATCTATGTTCCACGATGTCTGTTGCCAGGCAACAACTATGGCATCAAAAATGATCCTCAAACACTCCTGAGTCTTGCCTGTAACACAATACAGAATAAGTTAAATTGGCATTTACGTCACAGCTGTGGCTTAAAAGATGCTGACAAATGAACCAACATTACAAGTTCAGTATTGTATACGATGGCGGGGTTAGTTTGGATACACGGTGCTGGTCCAGCTTTAGAACAAGCCTATTGGGTTATTTTAACTCAGGAGAGTTGGGGTTTCGGTTTTACCCAGCATACATCCACAAAGATAAACAATCAATGATGAACAAGAGTCTGCTTCTAAACCTGCAGAAGGAGAAAAACTAACAAAAAAAAATATATATATATAAACAAGGGGACACACAACAATACAACAAGATCAAGCTATCACTGTGTCAACTTGATGAATAAATATAAAATCAACATTGTTTTTGACATTGAGAGCACCATGTGAGCACCTGTGTGTGTACGCGTGCTTGTACATTTGTAAGGTCTCTCTGTAGGAGCGTCCAATAGAGAGTGTGAGGGGCCACAGATCTGCCCCCAAAGATGCGTAGGAGATGGTACAACTAGTTAACCTTGTGATGTGAGAGTTTCATAAGCCTAGCATTGAAATCACATGCACTGATCACCCTGCTGCCCTCTGGGAGGCGCTACAGGAGCCTCCGGACTAAGGCCACCAGGTACCGGAACAGTTTCTTCCCAACAGCTGTCAGACTCCTGAACTCTGCCTTCTGACATATGACCCACGTTAAACTCATGGACTGCTTGTATTAACTACAGCCTGTACATACTTATAGTCATAGAATATTCATAACATACTTCATACCATGTACATTATAACATACGTAATAGATCCATTTCTGTAATATACTTACACATCTATATTATTTCTAATATATATTGTAATACATCTATATCACGGCTAAAGCACTTCTGGATGGATGCAAACTGCATTTCGTTGCCCTGTACCTGTACATGTGCAATGACAATAAAGTTGAATTCTAGTCTATTCTATTTTATTGAACAATCACACGATATTAAATCACAGTGCATTAAGTGCCAACCACAGCCTTAAGACGTGTGTTGAATGTACCCAAGTCCATACTTATGAGAGCACCATGTGAGCACCTGTGTGTGTACGCACGCTTGTATATTTGTAAGGTCTCTCTGTAGGAGCGTCCAATAGAGAGTGTGAGGGGCCACAGATCTGCCCCCAAAGATGCGTAGGAGATGGTACAACTAGTAAACCTTTTGATGTGGGAGTTTCATAAGCCTAGCATTGAAAGTCTTAGAGATCTGACCGTAAACACGAAAGGAGACAGAGGAGTTTTCTGGTTTTGCAGACACACCAATTTGGCACGTCATAACCTCACCCTGATTGGTGGAAAGGCGCCATGGCGCAAACTGTAACAAGCTTCATCTCTGATGATTATTTGGGTGAAATCCAGTATTCCTAAGAGTTCGTGAAAGACACACCGACATAATTCATGATGTGAGTGGAGGTGTCTAAACATTGAAGTTGGCCCTTTAAAGGGTTAAAAGCATGTAGGCTTGTATATATGTACTATTTATACATATATGTACTATATATATGTACTATATATACATATATTTGTACTATATACATATATACATATAGTACATATATGTATATATAGTACATATATGTATATATATATATACATGTATGTACTATATATATAGTACATACATGTATATATATATATATATACATGTATGCATATTTATATATATAGTGCATATATATATATATATATATATATATATATATACATGTATGCATATTTATATATATAGTGCATATATATATATATATATATATATATATATATATATATATATATATATATATATACATGTACTATATATATAAATATACATATATATACAAGTCATGAATAAGAGATACAAAGTAAAAAAAAAAAAAAAAATAGCAGCAGCCAGTAGGAAACGTCCTTGAGTTTAGGAGCCAATCGATGTTCTTGCTGCATCGAGAGGAGAACGAGCGCGAATCCAACAAATGGAACCGGATAAAAGGGGCGCGTGCCACCGCTGCTCAGTTCTAGGAGGACCGGAGGAGGACCGGAGCAACGGGAGTGGAGTCAGAGAGCGGACAGCCCGCAGCCGGTAGGACCGAATTCTCTTCCTAAACATAAAAACAGCACGCTCTCCACCAGCAGCTCTGAGCGGAGAGAAACACAAGACTTGTTTTTTGCCACAACCCCGCAGGCGCTGCGCGACAGGCTGAAGTTTGGTGCATGAAGACCGATATTATTCTCAGGGATTATGATTTATTTGTCAGAATAATATTTCATAGCGCTCGGTGGCAGGTGTCCGGTATCTGGGCTATTTTAGAGGAAACGTGATCTGCAGGAAGCTGCGCTGGTTTCACTGAAGCTGCTTTTATTCTCCAAACTCTCTGCTGTCGGGGACACGGTTATTGTGTCTCTCTGAAAGACTTGTCCTCACCAAAGGCAACCCTAAACTACTGATGCTTCCTTAGAATGAGATCTAACACGTCACCAGCTTCATTATCACAACGAAAGGGCTTTAATTACAGATTAGAGTTTGGAATGCTGTTGTTTCCAGACACTGGATCTGTGGGAGGGGAAGAATAAATGCTGTGATGGAAAGCCCACGGCCACTAACACAATAAAGGAGGGTTTGATTCTTAAACTGTCGTTTGCTGTTTGTCAGTCAGCCCGTTTAACAATAACGGTCCAGTCTAGTGAGGTGGAGCCCAGCTGACAAGTGGCACAAACCTCTGGTGGAAAATTAAGATAAAAGATTTGTTGTGATGGGAAATGTTTGACTTCCGTCGGTTTGGTTTAGTGCTGTGGGGGCAGATTCATAGTAGTCGGTTATTTAAGTGTAGAACTTTGCCTGAAGCGGTTGTAAACGTTCCTAGAGGTTCTGCTCCATCCTGCAGCAGCGTCAGCTCCATCCAAGATGAGAACCTCTCCTGGTCATGTTCTAGAAACAGTTAGAGGTGATCTGAGCTTTGTGACGTGGTGCATGATCCTGCTGGAATTAGCATCAGAAGATGGGTCCATGTGGTCATGGATGTTGGCCATGGCTCAGGTGGTACTGAGGGGTCCAAAATGGGACCAGAACATCCCCCACCACCAGCATCCTGAAGTGCTGATACGAGGCAGGATGGATCCACGCGTCCATGTCGGTGACACCAAATTCTGACCTGACAACTGAACTCCAGACTCATCGGACCAGGAGAGGTTGTTCTAGTCCCGTTCTGGTCCCGTTCTGGTCCCGTTCTAGTGATCCTGTGAGAACTGGAACTGACATGATCTGCTGGTGTCTTTCCACCATCCAGAACCTTGGAGATGGTTGTGAGTTCAAATCCCAGTGGATGAGATCTTCTGTTATTGTTGTTATTTATATTTTTAAATATACATAAAAACTTGTATTTTTGACACCATTAAAATGTTTAAAACTGAAAGATGTAAAGTTCCAAATAATAATAAAACACCTGTGAACACATTTTTTTACAAAACTGTTTTTCCCAACACCAAAACCACTTCAGTGGTAAGTTCTGCTGACTTTTCCTTTCCCGACACTCCGAGTCCGGCTGTTTTCATCCATGTCTGTTTGCAGGGATGATCCCGACGGGCCGCTGGGCTTTTATTCCCGGTCTGTGCTGAAACAACACGCCACATCCAGCTGCTTCTCCAGAGTGATGACTCAGTAATCGGCTGCTGGTGGTGACGTAGTTCCCACACAGCCTCCTCTGTCCCCGATGGTCGATGGCTTTTGCTTCCAGATGATGAGTCTGTGCCCCGTCCGTACAAGGCGATCTGCAGTTTACGCTCTGTTTGTTATAGAAGGAGCTGTGAGAAATATTCAGCTAAGTGTGAACACAGAGTTCATTTGTGTGCCAACTGTAAGTGCTGGCTGGAGGCTGTTGTAATTGTACTGAAATCCCAAGGCACAGATCTGTTTAAACAGCGTTTGCTGTCTGTTTGGATTCTTTGGGGCAAAGCAGCTTCTCTGCTGATCAAATGTCACAGATGATTATTATTCTAGCCTTTTAAGAAACGCTGTAGATATAAAGTAGAAATGGCATAATCACAGTAGAAGAAGAAGAAGAAGAAGAAAGTGTCATTTCTATAGCGCCTCTCAAGATAAAAATCACGAGGCGCTTCACTAAAACAAAAAATGTAAAATTATAAAGAAAAAGCATTTAGAAAATGTTAAAAATATATTTAAAATGAGCAAAAATAGGCAATTGTGATTAAAAAATTGTTAAGAAAGAGAGAGAGTGAATAGGAAAGAGGGAAATCAGTGGATCCTGAGGAAGGTGGAATAGGTGGGGAGAACAGAATAAAGAGAGAGAGGTGAAGAAGGTCATACAAAAGCCAGCTTGAACAGGTGAGTCTTCAGCTGCTTTTTAAAGGAGACCACTGAGTCCACTGATCTCAGGCTCAGGGGGAGAGAGTTCCAGAGTCTGGGGGCCACAGCAGCAAATGATCTGTCACCTTTGGTCTTTAGCCTGGTGCTGCACAACCAGTAGGCTTTGGTCACTGGACCTCAGGGACCTGCTGGGGGTGTAGGGACTAACCCCGATATTCCACTACCTCCGCTCCGCTCCGGTCCGCCCTCGCCTTTCGCAGCCGCTCGCTTCCTAACTCAATTTTTACTGCTACCCGCTCTACAACGGCTCCGCTCCGGTGCGGAGACCTGAGGTGGGCAAACAAGCATGCGCTGGATTTTCGAGATCTTGCGATACAGTCCGAGCAATAAACGCGGAAGTTAGATCCAAACACCCGTTGTGTGGGAGAAGCATCGAAATGAACTGTTTAATCTGCCCATCATTTGTGTTGAGAGATCAGCAGTGTGTGGATCAACAAAGGGTGACTACTTTGATAGTGGAAACTGTATTTATGGCTTACTTTTGTGCATTTAAAGTTCAACCGCCATTGATAGTTAAAAGTTGTTAAACCTGTGCATATGAAACAAAAAACGCCTTTTGTTTATCGATTTATTGTGAAAAACGGAAGTTGTGCTTGCTCCTTTTCCTGTTGGACGGTTGTGATTCCTGTCCATTGACTGCGGAGGTGCTCCGGCGTCCGGCAAAAATAGGATCGATTCTATTTTTGCCGGACGCCGGAATAGAGGGCGGCGCACGGCGCCGCACTGCCGGAGCACGGCCGCAGTAGTGGAATTGCTCTGATTGACTACAACGGGACCGATTTTGCTCCGGAGTTCGTGTCGGAGCGGAGCGGAGGTAGTGGAATTTGGGGGTAAGAAGATCACTAATGTAAGATGGTGCTTGTCCATGTAAGGCCCTATAGACCAGAACCAGGATGTTGAAATGAACTCTGAAGTTGACTGGCAGCCAGTGAAGCTGGAGGAGAAGCGGGGTGATGTGGGTGTGTTTGGAGGACTTGGTCAGAAGCCGAGCACAGGCGTTCTGAACCACCTGTAGACGGTTCAGGGAGGTTCTGCTCAGACACGTGAAAAGAGAGTTACAGTAGTCTAAAGCTTGGTGTATGCTTGACGCATTCACTTTCCGCGCGGTGATGCGGCTCGCGGATGGAACGTGCTTCACAACTCGCAGTGTTTATGGTTTGTGCGGCTTGTCTCTGCGGTGAGCCAATATTCTCCCAAACTGTAGGGGGCAGCATGGAGCTCTACGGCATGCATCCAACACTACACCATAGTAGAAGTAGAAATTACTGTTTACAACATGGCATTCCAGCATTTTTAACAGCGTTCTCGTCTTTTCCGACAGTGCGAGCTATTTCTCTCCAAGAATTATTAACAACATGTTGATCACGGTGATCTTTGAGAGCTGAATCATACAAATGTCTGTATTTACCAACCTCTGTCGTGCCGGTCCGCCATGTTTTTCCGCGTCCGACCGTCCGCGTGGTTAGAAATTTTCCGAGGTGCGCGTTGCGGAAATCTTGGGCCGTGCGGAGATGCGGTGGAGGGGCGTGGTTGTTAAAATGACGCAAAATGACACAACTTTTCCGCGCGCCGCCGTGCGGACCTCGCGGACCTCGCGGACGCGTCAAGCATAAACCAACCTTAAGCATGAGGAGATGAAGGTGTGGAGAACTGTCTCAAGTTCAGAGCGGGACAGAATGGGACTCAGCTTAGCAATGTTCCTGAGATGGAAGAAGGAAGAGCGAACAAGAGAACTGACATGAGAATCCAGGGTGAGAGCTGGGTCAAAGGTCATGCCAAGATTCCTGACAGATGGTTTGGTGACTAGCCGACAATGCTACATACTGTACTGGTGGCGTTACACATGTTACAACGTGGCAATGATTTTTTTGCCGAAGGAGTGTCCATCTCGACGAGCTGTTTACATACAGATGAAGTCGGGTTCCAACTACATTGTCTGGGTACTTCATCTCAATTAGAACCAGTTTACTTTCAGTCAGACTAACACATTTACATTCATGCATTAAAAAAACATCTTAGTCTGTTGGAGACAATTGTTTGGTCAGAGGAAGCAGTAGCTCAGGAGGTAAAGCGAGTTGTCCAGTATTCAGAAGGTTGCAGGTTTGATCCCGGTTCCTGGCAGAGAACCCTGCTGTTGACACTTAACCCTCCCTGTCTGCTGGTGGTCGGAGGGACCGATGCCTCTGCTTGGAAGCCTTGCTTCCAGCCTCGCCTCTATCTGTGTTCCCCAGGGCGACCGTGGCTACACTGTAGCTCATTGCCATCAGGGTGTGAATGTGTGTGTGTGGGAACGGATGATGAGCACTGTAGTGTAAAGTGCTTTGAAGCCCTCTGACTCTGAAAGGCGCTATACAAGTATGAGTAATTTATCATTATTTATCATTTGGGTTTCTGATGCACATGAGTGGTAGTAATTCAATTCAATACAATTCAATAATACGTTATTAATCGTCGTCTTCCTCTGCTTATCCGGGTCCGGGTCGTGGGGGCAGCATCCCAACTAGGGAGCTCCAGATCGTCCTCTCCCCGGCCACCTCCACCAGCTCCTCCGGCAGGACCCCAAGGCGTTCCCGGACCAGATTGGAGATGTAACCTCTCCAACATGTCCTGGGTCGACCCGGGGGCCTCCTGCCAGAAGGACATGCCCGAAACACCTCCCCAGGGAGGCGTCCAGGAGGCATCCTGACCAGATGCCTAAA